CAACGAAGTTGGCGGGGAATATAGAAACAGGCTCCGTCCGTACGTCCATCACATTTCGTTTCCGGAGCATAACTCAAAAACCGTTCAATATTTTTTCATCAAACTTTGCAGGTCTGTCAGGTACATGCTGAACTGGTGCCTTTTGCTATTTAGAAATTGTTATTTTTTACGTTTCCATGGCAGCAAGATGGACTAAGGTTCTGTGAGGTTAGGGTTCGTTTCCGGAGCATAACTCATAAACCGTTCAATATTTTTTCATGAAACTTTGCAGGTTTGTCAGGTACATGCTGAACTGGTGCCTTTTGCTTTTTAGAATTTTTTTTTTTACGTTTCCATGGCAACAAGATGGACTTAGGTTTCAAACTCTTCTTTTTTTACAATTTCCATGACAAGTTCACCTCGGTTAAAAAAGGTTAGGGTTTGTTTAGATTTAATTATGTCATAAATTCTGCAACATGGGCTGGGGATATAGCCATGTTAGTGGCAAACTCTTCTTTTTTTTTTTAAATGTTTATGGAAAGAAGCTGGACATGGACTCCATTGGGGATGGGGTTTGTTTTCGGGGCAGAATTAAAAAAACATTCAGTATATATGATTGAAACTTGAAACATGTATCAGTCACATGCTGAAGTGGTGCCTTTTGCTACTTTGTAATTTTTAAAAATCTTTATGGAAAGAAATATTTAAGCGGTCTTCATTTAAGTTGTAAAGGGAAGTAACTTTTGTTGTTGTTGGTGTCGCTATGTGCAAGAGACTGCTGTGAGCGGGGGACCATAGAGGTTATAAAACGGTAATTATGCAATTAAATACAAAACTTCAGTAACCGAGAAGTAAGACATTTTTAGAGTGACTGTTTATTTTCATATTTGCGTCTACAAATTAGAACATTCATAGATGTTTCTGCATTATTTTGCAGTCAATCAAGCCGACAGCGCTACCTTACTATACTTCTCAAAAGAAGTTAGGGAACACTGATATGTTTGCACTTTAAATCAAAAAGGAACAGAAGATGAAGACATGTGTAGTAAATTCAATAATGACCGAGTATACAGTAAGAAAGAATCATGAACAATCCACTACATTTCATAACGTGAACAAGTGTTGATTTCAATAATGTCACTGGGGTCAAAATTGGAAATCCAGGCCAAGAGAGAAAAGTCAGTAACGAGTGTGTCCGCCCCTAGCAGCCACACATGCAACACAACAACGCCTCATGGATGTCACTAATGTCTGTAGTGTGTTCTGTGGGATAGCATGCCACTCCAAACTCAGCCATTGAGCAAGCTGGTGCAGATCTTGAGGTGGAGGGTGGTTCTCCCTAACACGTCTCGTTCACAGATCCCATACGTGTTCAATGGGTGCCATATCAGGAGAATATGCTGGCCATTCCATGCGAGTAACATTGTTTTGTCCCAGAAAGTCAGTGACTATGCGTGCAAGATGAGGTCTAGCATTGTCATCCTGGAAAACCGCCTGTGGGCCTATTCGATGAAGACAAGGAATCACCATTGGTCTCAGAATTACATCCCTGTAGCGAACAGCATTCAAATTCCCTTTGATGACGTACAGATAGGTTCTGTGATGAAATGAGAAGGCGGCCCACACCATGACACTACCACCACCAAAACGATTGTGCTCACAGACGTTGACGTCAGCAAAACGTTCCCCATGCCATCTATAGATAAGAACACGACCGTCATTATGCTGCAGTGAGAACCGAGATTCGTCAGAATAAAGAACTGCTGACCACTGTTGTCTTGTCAACTGTCGGTGTTGCCATGCCCATGCGTCTCTGGCTGCTCTGTGACGTGGAAGAAGAAGCGGTCTAACGGCTTGATGTCAGGGCCTGATGTTTTTTTCCCTCATACGGTTTCTTATGGTTTGGTCACTGACATTTGTTCCTGTAGCAGCCCTCAGTTTCGAAGATGGTTTGCTGTGACTGTTCTCTTCCTCAATGCTTCAACAACGACGTACCGGTCTTCTCTTCCTGTTGTCACACGAGGGGGTCCTGACCTTGGTCTATCACGTACTGTCTGTGTTTGTTGGAATCGCTGACGTAATCTGCAAATGACAGATGGACTAACATTTAACCTTTGAGTAGCTTTCCGCTGTGAAACATTCTCATTTAGCCACCCAATAGCTCTGTACACATCATTCTGTATTTCATGTAGCTTAACCTACCAGTGGGACATTTAGGTATGATAGACATTTGTGAGGTGCAGAGCTTTCTAGAAACGGCTCATGGTATAAATGTACCAAAAAGTGACAAAATTGGCCACAACATCAATGTTTTGTTCTTATCCAGCACAACTACCTTCATGCTTCTACTGGTATGTTTCTGACCTAGGAGATGGAGCTGTGAGGGGTCTGGTCTCATAAGGTTGTTGTTGTACCCACTTCCTTCCTCTCACAGCTACGAGTACCATGTGACCAGAAGTTGCGAGGTCACGCACAATCACATCACATCTGGCATAGGCCAATACAGACATCTGGTTCCTAGTTTGAAGAATCAGATAGCATCCTCTGGCTACCCTTTTTTTGTCCTTTGATAACCAAAAGTTATTAATTATGTAGTTTATGGTCTGATGTACAAGGGTGGCCTCTTCAGGCTTACTTTAGCATAATTATGGTCTTACATTTTGCTCTTTGTTATGGTTACATACCAAGATGATCGTCTTCCTTTCCCGTTGGTTGACGGAGACTTATTATCACTGGCATATGACATTTGCTATTGCCTCTCTCCCTTTCATTTAGGTGAATCAACTGTCCTATGGTTACTCTCCCCATTTGTTCAGGTGTCCCAACCTCTGTAGATGGAAGATTACAGCAGTTTCGGCCTAACGTGACCATCCTGGGTGACCTGTTTATCACATATTACCTACAGGAGGGGAATCAGATGCCCATAATGGAGCCATTGACTCTGACGTCATTGCTACTCATTATGAACCTGCAAATCTGCCCGTCCTTTGATCCAACCACCAATGTCCACAGCTTCTACTCACTGATATTCATATGCCAACAAAGGGCTCAACAAATATGTACTTGATCTACGATATAAGTGTCTTCAACTCTGTATATCTGGAACATCTACTCCACACTCTGCATAGTCTCCGTCGCACCATTTAGAGTTGAGATCAAAATAATATATATCTGTTCTACCATATTGAATTTTAATGACCAAATTATTTACCAGAAACACAAAGCCTGTCGTCTCCATCCCCAAACTGATAAGATTTGTACATTTGTGTATATTTGGATGATTGCTTGCAGATTCATGCCAAGATGAGTTCTTGTGGCAGCTTCCCTTCACCCAGTACCTCCTTCACTGCCTCGGTAGGCTTGTTAACCTGATTCAATCCAGATCTCCCTCGTCATCCCATTCCCCTTGTCTCAGCGACATGATTTTCATTAGTGACAAGAAGTTTATGGGTGCCTTACCTCACCTCACCATGGGCAGTCACAACGTGCACTCACCCCCAGCTCCGACCACTTATGTTATGTGGTCTTCTTTTGAGATATACTGTAATCGCATCTCTTAATTGATTGCTGACTTCCTTAACTCTCACCGTAACTATTTGCCATCAAATCTGCTGTGGCTGTTGACCTGTGACACTAAATGTCTTGACCATCTCTGAGCTCTGTCTACTCCTTGTGGTTTACAACTTGAAGATCAGAAGTAGGAGTTCCGTCCTCTTGTATGGAACTTGACTGTTGTCCTTTGCCATCTCTTCACTTGGCATTTGCATCCTTTAAGTACGTCCATCAGATCACATTTTTTCCTCTCATCTTAGCCACCGTGGCTCGTGTCTACGTAACACATGTACGAGAATTCACAACCATCAATTTTAAATGACACTGTCTTGGTACTGTTTGTCTCAATCTAAGATGGGACTTTATCGCCACTCATCAACTTCCCAGTCAACCTGGTTAAATGATTACAAATACACTGTTATCATCAAATAGAAGGACCAGCATGAACAGCTATTCTGTCCCGTCTAGGATCATTGAAATTGAAATGCATTCACAAGAGTTTAAGGGACTGACATTGGTCGACACCGCCAAGGTGCTGTGCATGCCGGTCTCAGAGGAGATTTCATTGATAAAATTGCCTTCCCAGTCTCCGTGATCAACTGTTTACCAGTCCACCGTTAACTTTATTTGTCCATTCAGGACTTCCAAGTTTATATCAACACAATGAAGCACTTTGTCATACCTGAAAGTGTCTGGTTATTCCACTCCACTGCACTTCACGACCAAACAGGGGTCTCAGGCACTGTAGTTGTTGTTTGGTTCCCGTTCTATGCTGATGTGGAATTACTACTTCCTGGAACCATTATCCCGCAAGAGATGAGTGATCGTGCCCCTACCATCTTCAGAAACGTCCACACAAATACAATAAGAAAAAGAAAGAGTAAGCTGTGGAGCCGGTGTAAGGGAATCAGGCAGTGCACAGTCCATTGTTACTGATGGTTAGTGATTGTTTCCCAACAAGAATTGAAAAAGAAGTGAAAATGCACAGGGTGAGATTACAGGAGTATTACATAGATATATCTCTTCAGAAAACCCCTGCCCAATGAATCAAAATATATGGTTGTTCCAAACAATAAAAGATTTGTTCATGACTTTAAAAATTTGTACATTTCTTGTTTTGTTTTTTTCAATTCCAAGTTTAGACCTTGTAGTGACTTCAATTCTCTCAAAAAGCGATATATTTGGCTCTGAATGCCTTCTCCTATGACATTGATCAACTTTGGCATCTATATTTTCTCCTTATGCATTTAAGTGCATGTTTCCTCGGTTTTAATATTATGACCATATTTAAATGTCAATGCTGACAGCAACTTTTGTTAAGTGGCTGTCTTTTGTTAGGTGGCTGACATTTTAGACTGTCAATTGATATTTTTTTTTTGATACATACCAATCACTCACTCAGCATTTATTTTTTCTTTCAGATCTATCTGCCCACTGGGAATAGAGTACTCGTCCACATAAGGGATGAGGATCGATATCATTTTGTGAATGTTTACGTTACGTCCTCTGTCAACGATGTTGGGAAAAGTCGTGGTATCTGTGGAAAACTGTCAGCAACAACAGATGATGACTTGATTAAGAGAGATGGTTCCATGACAAACTCTACTGAAGACTTCGCAGAATCTTGGAGGTGATTTATGAGCTATCTTATTCAAATTAGAACCAGAAATAGAAGGCCCAGAAGTTCTCCTGAGTTGCGAGGAAATGTTGCAGAATCTAAAGTCGGGTCAGAATTTTGCGAGGACTTTTATGAGACACGATTCCAGATGATGACCTATGCACCACAACAAAAGCTCACTTGACTTTCAGTCAGGTGAGCTGTACAAATAAATGTATATCACATGTCAAAATGATATTGTTACAAAAATATTATTCATTGCAGATTGCTTGATCGTAAATGTCCGGTCAGATATCTGAGATCATATACTCAAACATTCAGCTTCATGACCCCAATGTGTGCCAAGATGTCGAAAGTTTTGTTTAAATAGATTAATAAATGACATAAGAGGCCAACAGTCAATTAGACTAACAATTTATACTCACTGACAAGGAATGGTGTACATAGTTACGCATGCACATACTTACTGCATATCCAATTATTCTTACATATTACCAATATTGTTGGAAGAATTAGTAGGTTTTGTTAAAATATGACTGCCACACATGATTATTTTTCTGAAAGACTACTACACATCTATTATTGGTAGGCTTACATGGACTTCTTCAAAATATGCCTTGGGAATTATTTTAACACATGAAAAGGTCAAAGGCCAGGGCCAGTGTCAAGGTTTTGTGAAACATGGTTACATTATCGTCATTGACATCTTCTTAAAAACCTATCACCTTACCCTATATTGCATGACGTTCCTGACAACCTTGGGGAAACCCTGTAACCAGTTCTACTTCCAAACCTAGGTTTTGAAATGGGTCACTTCTTAACCTGCTTTGAGGTTTTATATTTCAATTGTAATACCTAGGTTTTACAGTTAACATTCTATAAATTTGCCCCTTGATTTGAACACAATTGTGCTTGGTGAAAGTGAAAATTCCATGATGTGAATCGAACTTGCAACCTCACATATCCTGTTCAGTTTTGTAACCCACTGTTTTTCCACTGAGCTACCCGGGCAGGTGATGTGAACTTGTTTAATTTTACATGTTATGTTTCCAGCTGTTCCATGTTGCATGTGGGTTTTTTCTTGCACGCTTTGATCTAATTCCTTTTATACCGCGAGACACTGTATTTTTTCACTGTAAGGTATGTTGATTTGTTATGGTATTTCTTGCTTCTATTTGGATAAAACACGGTTTTACATTTTCAACCAAGACCTTGGAGGCTTGTTTTATCCTATACATAAACATGGATGCCTCTACAAGCATGAACCTTTTTACTTACATATTCTTTGACCAATCTTGCCCGATCACATGTCATGACTGATGTGAAAGGTCGACACCGAAGTTGACCCTTGAAGTTATCATCCAATGATTGTTCATACTTTGTCTTGAATATGGCACAAAGATTATTGACATTAGAAGATATTCATATGGATGTATTTCCACAAGGTGAAGGTTACTACCTAGAAAACTCTCTCATAATCATTAAACCAAATGTATACATGTAGGTTTTGGACCTGTTTTATAAAGGTGTAGTTTAGAAATAAGTCAAAGGTCAAGGTCAGCATCCAGAACATATATATTGATGGATATTATATAGCATTGTTAGTTTCTGAGTTGTGACCTGTTATATTGCATATATCATTTAATAATACAACCACATTAGGGTACTATGCAGGTAGGAGAGATACCATAAATCCCCATAGTCCCTTGTATGGTGGCCTTACTTTGGTTCCTGGCGACCTATATAGTCGCATCACTTCAATGCTCTCTCACTAGTTTTAGAAACACATCTGTGATATTCAATGTTTTACTGTCCATTATCAACAGGGTTTTATATGCATTTTATGTGCATGTATTACTTCTCATCACTTACTTACTTTCCATGTGACACGAAAGTTTAACTCACCCACTCCCACCTCAAGAATGAGTGAGAGTACGGTTTGACACAGCTTTTAGCAATTTTCCAGCAATATCACGGCGGCGCACACCAGAAATGGGCTTCACACATTGTACCGACGTCGGGATCGAATCCGGGTCTTCAGTGTGACGAGCAAACCCTTTAACCACTAGGCTACCAGACCACCCCCTACCACAGGAAATGTTGGTAGCGTATCTATGAAAGATTACGGTATTCTTGGAGGTTGTTGTAAAATATGGCTGTAATATTAACTGCCATTTACTATGGGTTTTACCTTGATTTTCAAAAGTGGTGGGAAACCCCAATAATTAATTTTAAGGGTCCTTGCAGACAATCAGACAATATGAGGGTCCTGTAAATTAATGAAATAGTGTAGTGTACTGTTTGTCTAGGTAATTACTTTAGAGCCTGGAATGAATCTATGATCATGCAGACAGTGGTCATGAATGATTGGATGAAACAAGACCCCCCATAACTGCTCTTGTTGCGCTGGAGTTACAATCAATATTATTGCGTATCCCTCGAGACGCAGTATATTCTTTTTCTGCATCTAATCTCAACATTTGTGGGTACTGGACGCACATATGTGCATCTAATAAAACCCTGAGTTACTGTTGCCTCTGGTCTTAAGAAGTTGTCTTGGTTAAGGTAAACATTGGAACTATTGTTTTGGGGATTGAATGTGACGACTTTGAGAAGTGTGAGGAAGTAATGGTGAAATGGTCTGCTTCTTTTTTAGCAAGTACACAACAAAACATAACAGATGTTATAGAGCATGTATGCAATAAAGAAAATAATGATATTTCCAGAATTGACAAAATACTTGTCAAGTGTGATTTTGAATGTGGTTTGAAAATGATTGGACTTCCTTGAGCAAACTTATGAGAAATTCTTGCTTGTATAACTTAAATGTGAATAAAGTATATTAATGACTGTTACAGCAACCATGTCAGAGGATGTCAGATTGTCTAAGGCGCAACAATTTTCTGTCCAGAATTTATTCCCTTGTGGTGCAAAGATTTTGATTGTTTGTTCAAATTCCAGAATCTCTCCAGTTACCACTCTCTCAGTACCATGCACCGAAATGCAGCATCTGAGCCATGCGTCACTTCAAGACGCCCTCTCAAATGAGACACTCACATGCTGGGAAACTCCTGTTTAAAGTGATCACGCGCCCACTTTTGCAAATTCACAAGTCTAATCCTTCCCTTTGTTACTTTAGGGTTGCAGAGACTGACAACTTGTTTGACCCAGAGGTCATCAGAGCAGGACTACCGTCCTACAAGCCGTTACTCCAATACTGTACATGTGAAGAAATGAATCTGACATGTACCGCCATGGCTGCCACCGAGACGGTCAAAACACCGAAGAACTTTCAGGATATAAAGCCTAAGAACTGTGTTATATCTAAGCGGAAAAAACGCATGGCCTTGCGCACCCCGAAACGTTCAAAAAGGGTAGGTATTATTCAATGAAACATAACAACTACTTCAGGTGGTTTATGCACTGGACAAGTATAATATTACATGTGACAGGACCACTATAAGATTATACAATACTTTCAATGTGAGAGTTTTGATCCTGATGACATGATTTTATGAATGCTTCCTATTTATAGTTCAGTTTATGGGGCTTTAAGTGGTCTGGTATGTGTTATTTCTGGTTCAGTTGCCTTCATAACATTTGTCAACACTGCACAGGTTAATACCAACAATAACTGATAATTATCGTCAGTGACCAAATCAGATTATGAATATTGGGCTTGTGCAAAATTTGAATGTTTCGTGATAAGTGTTGCCACACGTATGAATATTTGTTGCAAAGTTATATGTGGTGTCTTTCATCATACTTGTCAATGTCCTATTCAAGGTCATGATCATAATGTCCATAATTGTAAGAGGCGACTAACGGGATCGGGTGGTCAGGCTCGCTGACTTGGTTGATGCATGTCATCGTATTCCAATTGCATAGATTGATGCTCATGATGTCAATCAGACTCGATTATTTACAGACCGCCTTCATGTAGCTGGAATATTACTGATTGCGGTGTTAAACAACAAACAAGCAACAAAGAAACAGAGTTAATCTGGATGTTTCATAAATTGGAAAAGTCAGTATCTCTGTATTTCTCTGTGACTATTGTCGTCTTGCTAATGAACAAACTACCATCATATTCTTTCATTTTTGATACATGATATTGCATTTCTCCTGTACCAATGTTTGATGACTTCAGGTTTACTTGCACAGCAGTGTATATATGTATGATTTGAGTATTACTAATGTGTGAGCAATGTTGCAGCAAGTGCAGAGTCAGAAGACATCAGAAGAATGGTTTAATGGCTGGAATGAGACACTGGCACAGGCATACTGTGAGGACAAGTTTTCAGAGTCTAAAGCAGTGAAGGTGTGTGGAGACGTCCCTGGTGTCAACGTTGCCAACAGCAAACGTGAATGTGTGAAGGACATTCAGGTGAGACAATGTTTCTAATAGATTTTTTATACATTTAACTCATTTGACTGACTTTTTATGAATATTGTTATTTCAAAATGTGATGGTATTTGGTATAGTTGTAGTTTTTTTTTGTTGAGTGGCAGAAGAGCGAGATGAGCTAGATTTTGTTCTACCATACATGCCTTTGAGGTAATGGACCATACTCAGGCCTAACACGAGGATCACAAGGTCATCAAGTCGATTACACACAACAGAGACCAGGCGCTCACTGTAACCATTGTCAGTGCTTGCCTCTTCATCTCGGGCCAGTGACCAGGATTGACCACATGCATTTCACCTCAGAGCTCCCCTTGCTAGAATCACTGCCATAAGTCGCCTAGGTTACTTGGCCCTGGCTAACTGGGACTCAGATTTTAAATGTTGACTCCCACATCAACTCTGGTCAGCTACTTAACTCTTCAATGATCACATAGCGGACACACATGCCACTGTTTCAAGATAGACTCGATACAAGATGGCCCTTTAAGCACTGGAATATGTGTCCCAGAACCCTATTCAATTGTCTACCAGGCCGAACAACTACTTTGCCAGGTGCAGTTCCCTGAGGGACTAGGCGCCTGATCAGTCTTCTTTTCAGGGCACCCACCCGCAGTCGTCCAGGCTGTCGACACTTTAGTAGGTGGAAGACTACAACTACGCTACGGGTATTGCCTCATCTATGCTAAGGATCCTCCATTGATCTTGGCACCTCCACTATTGCTCTGCCCCAGACAGCTGCACACAGTTCAGTTGGCCAACAGACATCCTGTTGCGAAGGAGAGCCATAGAGATGGTGTATGCCCCAACCATAACACCAGGCTTCTATTCTCCCATCTTCCTCATCCCCAAGGGGCGGTCAGGTAGCCTAGTGGTTAAAGCATTCGCTCGTCACTCACTCACTCACTCACTCACTCACTCACTCACTCACTCGTCCCCAAGAAGGACTCTGACAAGATGGGGATGATCCACAATCTTGCTTTATTCAACAAACGGTGCTTGGAGCGGGCCTTGAGACTTTTCAGGACCAGAATCAATGCCTATGATTCCCAGAACAGTTTCGACCTGCAGGTTCCATACGGAGGTAGCGACCCTGTTTCTCCTACCAGGAGCTTCCCAGCGCCATAGCTGGGATGGATGGTGAATGAGGCGAAGTAGAACCTCACTTCATCGTAATGACTCCAGTTCCTTCCACGGACAGGATTAGTCGAGTAGTTGCTGATCTTCACAAGAGATGCACTCAACGGCTGCCTCACTGAACACCTCCGTACTGTCCAATGTGGATGCATTAAAGAGTAATGCAGGATAAGTTAAAAAATCAAGTAGATTCTAGATATTGTTTATATTTATATACTTATCCTGCATTGCTACATCTGGAGGTCCACCCACAGACCTGCCTCCCCATGATGTCTTCAGATGGATTTACATGTGGCAGGCAGTAATATGAAGATTCTGTGATGTCAGTTCCATTTGTCAAATGGCAGCTGGACCTCACACAGCCTCTTTTCAGTCAAAAGTAAGCAGTAAATGAATTAAGGAGTAATCCGGCAAAAGTATACAAATATAAAAAAAAATATCAGTTGTCAGTTAGATACCACTAACAATGACAGAACATCTTACTTCCCCTCTAATTTACCTTGATGATAGACCAATGTCAGGAAAAGCGTGTGTTGCCATTGGGATTTGAGCCGTACAGCAGGATTTGAAGTCGGTACCACAGGTTTATAAATGTAGTCATCTGCCACGGTGATATGCAAGAAATCAAGTGGAATTAATAACAATTACATATTTACTAATCTCAAGATGAATAATTAATCCGTTTATGAATGGCTTTATTTGTGACTCTGTACATTAAACGTACATATGACTTGGTAGCATTTCGTTAAAATTTCTATTTTATGAATAATTACACATAAGAGGCCCATCAACATGGGCAAATAATATCTAATGTTTGATAAATTTTCTCGACTTGGTCCAATATGAATTGTATACTAGCCCCGGGACATGCATTTTATAACCTGAGGTATGGCTTTTCCCTACCAAGCTACGCTTCTTTTACCAAAAGAACAGGCTTCGTAAATGTTTAGAAACTCTATCAATCAGAATCTCAGTATAACTCTGAATGACATTTTGGACATCATAACACAGGATAAAATTAGATGTAAATCAGAGTCAGTGAATTACTCATAATAAAAGTTATGCCGCTGTTGGCATTTGTACATCAATCTTATATTTTGGAAGCACATAGAAAAGTCAACAAGTTACATGGATATATCCCAGTCAGCCTTGGAACAGTATCAGTTTGGAAAAATTAACGTGAAGCAAGATGATTCATTTATATTGAAGTCCACGAAACATGAATTCTTCCAAATAGTGTCAGCACATGTCCTCTGTAATTATTATCTCAGGCTGAAAGCGGCATGGGGGTCAACTGTCATTGCACAAGTCAGTATCAGGTATGACCACCATTAGCAGTGACACAAGCTTGACAACAGCGCTTTATTGAGGACACAAGATGGGGGAGGAAGGCTTGTTGGATGTCATTCCACATATAGACCAAGGCCTGTCGCAGATTGATTGTGTAAATTATGTTTATTTCATCCCACACCTGTTTGATGAGTGACAGATCTAGCAAAACAGCAGGAGAAGGGAGTGTTCTGTTGTCCAGAGAAGTCTGTGTCCATACTTGCAATGTGATTGTCCATTACGGTCCCACCACCAAATGCAGAATGTTGAACGACACACACACACAACGTCCTTAACTGCTCACTTGATAAAACCTGGACTCATCTGTGAATAGGACTAACCCCCAGTCCTGTAACCTGAACCTCAGTAATAAACCATACTATGCACTTGTGCAGGCTCATGGGACAATCAAGTATGTTACACTACTGGAGTTTATTATACCCCCGTTTACGAAGTAAATCGGGGGTATATAGCGTTCCGTTCGTCCGTCCGTCTGTCCGTCCTTCCGTCCGAGCATTTGTACGGCCCATAACTTTTTAACCATGCACCCTAGCTTCACTAAACTTGCTACACACATTAACTACAATGAGTACTTGTGCCTTTTGCTAGTTTGAAGATTCTGAATTTTTTTATTTTTGCCGTTTCCATGGAATCATGGTGAAACATAAATTTGGGGTAAATTAACATGTTATTCACCCTTTCTTCAAGAAAAAGCAATAAACGGTAAAGCAGGGGATATATCTGATATAACAAAACCGAAGTTTGGCACTCTTCTAGTTGAATGCAAAACTCATAAACAATCTGCTACTATTCTTGAATCAACTAATCTGGCAGAAATTGAGATCAAAATAAACAAAGCGTCAAACCCCTTTCCATATCCAATAGCAATATCTCTTAATGACTTGATTGTATGATTCTGTCTATATCATGAGAATGTGTTTATGAATCACTATCAAATAGTGATGATACAAGGGCCCACTTGCACAAAGCGATCTTAGCGCTAAGATCATCGTAACTCCCATACTTTAACATAGGCTTACGATAGTCTTAGATCTAAGATTACTTTGTGCAAGTGGGCCCAGGTATTCGCAAAAAGGTGAGAGTATCCTGCCCAACCAATGGCATCTGTCACAAACACCTGAAAAAACATGGAAACATATGGGACAAGTCAAAATAGGGAATTGCATCGGACATCATTTTTGTCACTGATGTGACAAATTTGGAACCTCTTTCTTTGCAGCTGAGTGGCACTGATGCTTTTGCCTCAATGGCTGTGGAAAGCGTCTATACAAAGTGCTTTTGGGAGGCTTTGGTGAATCCCATTTTGAACATATCTGAGCCTGGTGAAACATCAGTTTTTGAAAAGATTACGGAAGAGATATGCACTCAAGATTGCAGCAAAAGAGGTGTATGTGAAAAGGGTAAGTGTCCTTATAGCTAAAACCTGAGACATGGACCTCTAACCACACACAGGTTGACAAGTAAATGTTACCCATAACAATCTCCAGTTTCAGTTACAAGCTTGTCTGTTGGTCACCAGGTGGGGATCCGTTAAAGAAACATCCACAGTATCCCATGTTTTGGTTGACTGAAAAGAATTCAATGGTATTTCTGCTCATGCTTATGTGCAAGCGGCCCTAATATACCTGGGATATTGCTGACTGTGGCTGAGATTCTGTCACCTTTATGTTATCAATGTTCATGTTTGATTTCATATATTGACGACTGCCTCCGTGGTCTAATGGTAGAGCTTCCACCCGGAGAGCGGAAGGTCCAGGGTTCGATCCCAAGCCGTGTCATACCAAAAGACGTTAAAAGATGGTAGTTGTTACCCTGTCTGGTGCTCGGCATTAAGGGGCTAAAACAAGGACTGGTCGGCTCGGAGTCAGTATATTCATGTTAAACTGTGGCATGGTATTTCAGTGTGCTAGCACTATAACTCGGCATCAGTCCGGACTAGTACAAGCAGCCACACACACACACACACACATACACACACACACGCGTGCATGCACGTCGCTATATAAGTGCAATAATCTTGGACGCGACGTTAAACCCCATTTCACCTCACCTCATATATTGACATATCATGTAGGTAACACATCTCTTACAGGAAATAAGAATGTGCATGTAGGATACCTAGAGTTGTTATTGCATATTGGCAATTATATATGTGTGTAAGTCTGTAGCTATTAATTCACTTCCAATTTATTTTGTTTTTGCATGTGACTGGCTTCTGGGGGGTGAATGCAGCCAAGACATTACCATTGTAATCCTTGTACTTTGTCTTCATACACGTTTTCCTAATTCCAGGACAGTGTCGTTGTAACCCAGGTTTCGGAGGTGGAGATTGCTCTGTCGAACTGTCCAACCCCCCTACTCTATTTGACGTTGGAGACGGAGGTCGCTGTGACCTAGCTACAGGAAAATGCACTGAAACTGCAGTACTGGGTGACATCTTTAGTGGGGAAGAATCCTCCAGATGTCAAATAAAGAAAAGCATGGTACAGTTGCCTCATTTAGATTGGACTTTTTTGCTCACGAAGACCGAAGGTCCTAGTGAGCTTATGGCCTGACATGTTCGACATGTTATGAATTTGAAGGTCCGTGAAGACGGAGACGCAACCCTGGTCGCAAAAAGGGATGAAGGCCATTCATGTGGAATATTTGTTGCCTCTCCATAAGGAACTATTGGGATTGCACAAAGTAAGCACAAGAGTATGTTCATTGAAATAAAAAACAACAACTTCAGCAACGTTTGCTGGTGGGTGGTTAAACAAACAGTTAGAGTCCACAGAATTGACCAGAGAGGATAGGTCTTGAAATTGCTTTGAAAGGTATGACCATCCCAGAAACAAGGCATTGAAGGGCTAAAACAAGGACTGGTCGGCCCAGAGTGGAGTAATCTTGTTAAACTGTGGCATGGTATGTCAATGGGCTAACAATATGAAATTGCCATTAGTTCAGACTAGTGCATGCAAATGCATGCACGCAAAATATGACTGCAACAAGCTGGAATGTGACGTTAAACCCCACCTCACGCCACGTATGTTGATTTGGCAGCTCATGATATTAAATCCCATTAATTGAGGCTGCCAAGATTCATCATACTGCTACCGACATGTTGGTCATATATTCATGTGCGACTTCTCTGTTGGCAATTCCAACCTTCGGCAGTTATTCAGATATGGACCCAAATATCGTGAGCAGTGTGCTACCAATTGGGATCACAACTTGAAGATGATTATAGATTTTGTTGAAGCATATTAAAAAAAATGGCCAAGAGATAAGACGAACCTATTAAATGTCATTCAGAAATTTAGGGTTAAGCTTATGCGTGATGTTGTCATTGGCTGAAGACATCCCCACTAACACATGGATCACTATTTTATTGTGATTCATTATCACAGGCTCAAGAAAAAGTCAGAATCGTATGATGGTTTCTGCTTTAAGCGTAGATTTCTCTTTATTATGGAAAATATTTTGCCACTTGTATTTATTGTTGTGATATTTTGAAGTCGTAATTGTTCAATAAACTGATATTCATATGCGTGGCATCTATTTTCTCTGTGACGTTAAAATTTAACTTACCCAGTACTGTTTTTACATATAATGGAAACAGAATATTTTCTGGTATTGATCTTTTATATATGTATCATGATTATGGAAATTGTTGGTTGCTTTTATGTCGCTTTTCAGAAACAATGTTTACTGAATTTGAAATACAATTTTGACATTTTTTAAATATTTTTGTTTAAACCACATAATGATTATGAGCCTTCATGTTATGTTCAGCAACACAATGTGGTCCACTTTCTCCTTAAATTGTCAATGTATGGGGTGAACAAAAAGGGAAAGTTGAAGTCCCAATTGTCATACAGTCTGGTGGAGAGTGTTTTGTCATTCTGAATCTTTTTGCATAGATCAAAATATGAAGCCCATTAAGTGGTGTCACTGGTCTCCTTTATTTCTAGTTCAGCTGGGAAAATCATTGGAAGGGTATTGCCTATTTGATGGTTATTGAACGATATCAGATCATCAAAAAACCTGAAGCTGAAGTTCAACTTCTTGGCCAAATTACCTTGTTTTGTCTCTGCAAACCTGAGCAGACATTCTGATTCATAAACAGATCAGCAATTGGTGCCTATGGTGATGCCTACTTCGACTTATGCCTTCTCGAATTTTTAGAATTTGGCTACTGATGACTTACTTGAGTTATTGATTTGTGTTGAACCTAGGTGAAACAGGATGGACAGATGGCAATTTCATCCGTCATAACATCCAAGGCTGTCACAGAGAGTATAAGTGAAGTGACTTGTTACCTACCAGATGCTATTGCGGATGATGTTACCACCAGCTACAACATTTCAGTGTCTAACATTGGAACGTTCTACAGTAACGAACTGACCGTCCTGGTGTATGACTCGACATGCGTCACTGTCGACAATGACACTATGATCTGGAGTTTGCGGGTTAGAACTATCTTCTAAAACTGACATTCCTACCATGAATAAATATTGATACCACAATTATTCTTAACTTTCTTTCATTTGCTTTTTTATTCATAAGAGATGTATACAAAATCAAAGTAATGGTGCATTTGTCTATGTTATTCTGAATTTGCAAGTGTCAGTGATATATTAGTAAGTATCAGAAAATTACATGCTCCAGTGTTAAATCGGCTTCCTACATTGTATGTATTATGTATTATCTAGGATGGATACTGCACTCACAAAGGAAAGTGTGTGATGGAGGGGGATACATTGGAAGAAGATGCTTGCGTATCATGTGAAATCAACGACAACCAAAGAATATGGAAGACAGCAACAGGTAGGACATTATCTTCTGGGTGTCAGTTTGTTAACATGTGGCTCTAGTGTTTGTGTTCCTCTTTTGTGTACAGCAAGTATTATGGGCACATGGCAAAACGGCATCAATTGACAGGTGGCATAAGATTAGTAATGTACACTTGTGATATCTGTATTCGAGTGGGCGGTCAGGTCGCCTAGTAGTTAAAGTGTTCGCTCGTCACGCCGAAGACCTCGGTTCGATTCCCGACAATGGGTACATTTCTGGTGTACCCCGCCGTGATAGCTCACTTTATTCGAGTTTGTACAACTAACCCTAAAACCATTCCTTAAGTAGTTTCTATTGTTCTATTCTTTAAAGACAATATGTAGTTACAGACTCATTAAATCATAAGAAAACAACAAGTCTTTTCGTTGGTTAAAATGTAGTTATGCAAAGTCATTAAAACTACTATTAGGATGATCAAGTGAGAGATTTATACTTAAATTTACCCGGTAATAATTAAGTGTTGCCCTGATGTCATTAATAACTTTGTTCATTTTGAGACAACTGGATACGTAACTGTACGTAATTTGTTAATCTAATGACTATAAATAACCAATGCTGATTGTACGGCATGTGATCTACAGGTACATACTGGAGCTATGTAGAGAATGTTTGATGTATTATCCTTATCATGACTGATCAAATAACTGACCCACTAATTGACTGTGATGAGATGATAGTGTGTGAAAAGATCTGACTTTGTTGCACTTCCAAACCGAAAGTGATGTAATTAAACCAGAAGTGCTGATAACTTTTGCGATCAAAGATGGAAAGAGGATAAATAATAGGTTTTTGAAAGGCATTTAGAAGTGATGCACATTAGGAAAAGAATTAATAGATGTGATTATGTAAAAAAATGATTACATGCAACAATAGATGAGTGAAATATGACAGATGTTGCACATAAATATAATTTGAGACACATGCACAACTATTCTACATTTAAGAGTTTCATAATTGCATCAGTAAAGTCATGTTTTGTGCCAAAAATCACAAAGCGATCTCAGCGACGGTGATAGCCTGTGTTACAGTATTGACTCTATTATGGTCATTGCACTATGGTCGCTTTGTAAAAATGGGGGTGCTTATGTTTCCCAAATACCTTACATGATCCTCAAATTAAAGAGGAACATACTTTGATACATTGTTTAGGGTATCCAGCATCCCCTTGACATGCCATTTCCCAATATAGTAATTTTTTTAAGGTGTAGTCTTGTGTGACCATAAAGACATCATGTGTACATTGCAGGTGGAAATTGCTTAAACAGAGCCGGGAATGTCAGTGGCAAGAGGGTGTTTGTCATGTTGGGTCTTCTTGTTGCTGCAGCAGCTGCCTTGAACCACGGTCAATGATATGGAAACATTGAATCCATTCAGGATATCAGGATACATGTATATGTCCAATTTCAATTGTTATAAAATCCTATGATGATAGAAAACCTTCTAACAAGCCTGTTTTTTACACACAACCAATATGGACAATTTGGACTATTTTTGTTTGTAGAGATAAAAATGTTAATACTTGCAAGTGTCATATGGGGTCATCAAAATGATAAATCAGACAATGTTGTGTTGGCAACAGTCGGTATACTTATTCATGTATGCTTAACACTGATGAGGAGGATAAACATAATGCATCTCCAAGAATCTGAACAACGAATTTTGATTATATGTTTTATGTTATTTAGACGAGTTTTCCTTTGTTATCTTTGTAATTTGTTTGAATCTGATTTATTTACGTTAGTGTTTTGTACATGCTTTTTCGTTAACAAATATTTGTCCACGTTTTAGTGGTTTGTGAAATTTTATATGCAGGAACACATTGAGATTTTTGTAGCATATTTATGTTTTAGTGTCCTATTTTCTTTCAACTTATATCTAGTAACATCCACATTTGGACTGAATTATCTTTGTCTAAATGTTTTATGTATGACCAATAACTATCACGACGTTACAAGGCTGAAAACAGCTTCAAAACACTTCAAACATGAGTTCCATACCACCATTATGATACCCTTATCAAATACATCGCCATTGATTTACCATTTCTTGTTTTGTTTTTTTTCATTTTCGGCACCATCAAACATTAGTGTATACTTTCTTTTGCCCAGCAGTTCATATGCAAAATACCAGCAGCCCCAACTGTTGTCAGGCAGTTTTCAAAGAGAGCACAAACAAAACGAACAAGGAACTCTTCAACAGATCTCAGTGAATTGATATGTTTCTATTTCCTCTCTATTTATATGTAATCATTTGATATTTTTGATTATTTTCAGCTCTGAGAAACAACGATTATCTGTGAATAATACAGAAGGAAAAGTGATTTGAACAGATTATTAGTCAAATTTATATAACAATGTAAAATAAATGAGATTTCTCACATAACCTTGTCAGGTTTTATGAATTAAGGAGATGACAACGGTGCTCTACTGAATTAGAGTCACAGAGATGTTTGTTGTGTTTCTTCATGACAGATTCGAGTCATAGACAAGTACTGCTGACCAGTTTGAATGACGGTCGCAGGTAAGACATGTATAACCATTGACGTTCTAACCTGGGTCACTACTGGATAACACCTTCATGAGACGTTCATCTGAATAACTGGCAATAAATAACATTCATTTGCACAGTTGAGCGAATAAACAACAATTGTTATCTCTGGTGACAAACAAATAGACACTTTAAAACGACTCCACAATTGTAATGCCATGATCTATTGCTTATATCGTATTCAATGTGACACCTGTCAGCCAACGGATTTATGCAGTCAAACTAGGAACTTCCCAACCGTTTTATTTTTGCCACTTTGAATAATGACAGAAGAAAGTGTTGAAGAAGGCACAGTGTTGTTCATGTCAAAAGGGAGAATTTGAATAAATTATCAGTCCACAGTATTCTCCAAGATCAGTAGCAGTCAAAATGGCAAATCACAAGCGGGGTTATCTGATGGCATCACAAGTTAAGTAGCTCGTATACTCTCCATGTGCGCCCACAACTGCAGCACGTTGCCTCCCCATTGACTCCCTGACGCTTGTAAAGATTCAATTTGGGGTACGGCGCCATTGTTACACCAATGTGGCACTAGGTTCCTGCAACGTCTGTCGGGTTTTCCTGAAGTGTGCCAGCGTGCCCAAGGGGCTCCAGGTCGGGCGACCTTGAAGGCCACTCCATGACAGGCCTAGACCATGAGCTGCCATGAATTGCTCTAGTTCCTAGACCAGCACATGGTCAGGGCATTAAACAGCGTTGGGTAGGTGCCCAAAGCTGACCTTCATGTCTGTAATGGCGTCAAAATGGGTCAAAGATATGGTCTTCCAGTTCGCAGCCGGTTCCGGTCGCCCGACCCCAAAACATGTCATGCGGTATCGATGAAGCAGTTACAAAACGGTGACGTAACATGATCTGACGGTCATCTGCCTGTGACGTCACACCTGGGTTCCATGGTCAAGGGCGACCAGCTGTCGTGCCTGTTTGTCGTCCGCAAATCATAAACTGCCCCTGAACTGCAAACCATCGCCGTTGCAACGTCGGCTACGGACGTTCGTGAGTTGAACATGTCAACAGCACATGCTGCACATTTGAGAAGTGTGGCATCGGTCGTAAGAATATCATTTGAATGTGTCTCCTTAAATGTTTCAGACTAATGTGAACTAGAAACGATGCATATGCGATATCGATTCACATGACTAGTAGCACATGGAAAACCATTCTCGCCCCAATGGTGCCTTTCCCGTGCTAGGCACTGGCAAACTGGGCGTTGATTGGCATACGAATGCTTCGGGATAATGCCACTACCGTGCTAAAGTATATATTCATGAAAACTGTTCATCAAATGCTGTTGAACTTACTGAAAGTTAACACTGTGCAGTGATTCTTTTGACTTTTGTGCAGTATATTTCGTCTGTAACAATGACTTCCTTGGACGCCTTAGTGAAGACTTCGTATGTTGCTCTACGTCACACTCAGCAATAATACAGCATGCTCCGGCTGTCTGCAAACAAACTCACATTGTATAAACACTCATGTGGAGAATGGTAAACATACATGAGGTTCTATGTTTGTCTCACGCGGCTCTGAGCACACAGATAACAGAATACTTATTAATTATACATTTAATTTTGATCTTAGTTCGCTAATGCCAGTAAAAGCCAATTATTTAATTATTATTGAAAGCACTTGATTCTAAATTAACATAAGGGGTGTCTTATGCATACAGTAGGTTTATGTCAACAAACTGACCTCTCGACAGCAATAGGTCTTCAGCAACCCATGCTTGCCATAAAAGGCGAATATGCTTGGCGTAAAAGGCAACTTACGGGATCAGGAGGTCAGGCTCGCTGACTTGGTTGATGCATGTCATCGCATCCGATTTGCGTGGATCGATGCTCATGATATCAATAACTGGATTGTCTGGTCCGGACTAGATACTTTACAGACCGCCAACACCAAGCTGGAATATTGCTGAACGCAGCGTTAAACAACAAAGCAACATGCAATAACGACATAAACTGTTGTTTCAACTACACGAACGTAGTCAAATACTTCTATATAATTTACGAATAAAGAACAGATCTTATTCGCACACAATAAGGGACAACACATTTGGCTCTATAAGAGGCTCGGAACATCCTCATGATGTTAAGCCACTTTCAGGGATTTGTTGCTTTAGTCATATCTGAGAGTCAAAGGATTATGGTTCATCTCGGAACATCCACTTAAAATTAAAAACGTCCACAAAGTTATCAGTATAAAGTTCTACTTTTACCAAGAACAATCCCATAGTTTTAAATTATCATCCCCAACGTCACTAGCTACAGGAGGCGACATGACAACACCCACTGGAGTGATATTTTCTTAAAACACGAGAAGAACCTGATACTTTGATGTTACGATGAATAATAAGTTGAAACTACAGTGTGGAGATGTGAGTGAGTCTTTAGATTGTGGAAACCTGTCAACTGACAGTAAAATATTAGCAATCTATAATATAGTACAGCTTACAAATTTACGAGTTAGGTACTTATACACCAACAGGATATATATTTTTCTGTGAAAGAAGCCTAACCATTACTTTTTAAGTTGCGATTCTTTTGAAAACTGAGGAACAAATCGACCGCCTAGTGGTAGAGTGTCCGCCTCGAGGACGGAAGGTCCGGGGTTCGATCCCCGGCCGCGTCATACCACAAGACGTTAATAGTTTGTACTTGTTGTTTCCCTGTCTGGTGCTCGGCATTAAGGGGCTAAAACAAGGACTGGTCGGCTCGGAAAGTATACTGTGTCTGAGTGGGATATTCATGGCCGAAGTATGTAGACACATTCTGGTTCTACTAGATGGTTACTATACAAAACAAACCTTGGTTTATCAGGGTTCGTTTATGTACTCCAAATTGTTTGGATAACTGATGACACGTAGGACAAATGCAGTGAACGTTGTCCTTGAACTAATGACTAGGTCACTGGTTGTGGTCAAATGGTAACACTAGCCTCTGTCCCGCACAGAAAGTAACATCAACACATGGAGGTCGGGAAATTGTGTAACCTTCAAGGCAGTGTGAGACGTGCTGGAAGAAATATCCTTGCTCTGGACTTATTGACCTACTTCTGACCAGAAATAAATTGGCACGTCATTTCATCTCATTTAGCTTGTTTATAAATGCTTGTCCTTTGAAGTTGGAGGAACGCGTCACTATATTTTACGAGCTTCGGGTGATCAGGCAACAATGGCTAGATCTCACGTGTTAACGTTAAAGTAAGAGCCTTTGTTTAAAGAGTAACACCGGCTGTCTCTGTTAAGAACGGAACTGGAATCCTTTGGGCCCCTGAGTGGGTACTTGTGTGCATATCACTATCTCAACCGCTACATATTCGTGTAACAAGCATTTACGAATCATATGTGGGAAATTATTTCCGTATGAACTGCACGTCACAATGATATATGTCAACATATGAAACGTCGTCAAATTTGATATGCGCATATGATTGAAATAATGCAATTTGAACAAATACCTCAAACATTACGTATTAACATATAAGTTGTAGTTATACATGGAGGAGGCTGAACTATTTATCAGTCAGGCATGGTGAAGGGTTAAACCAAAGGGAACACGTGGTACTTCACTAGATTTTGTTTCTAAGATGAAGTCAGATATTGTCGTTAGGGCACCAGATATTTTAGTCAAGTATACGAACAATAATCCATGTCAGCAAGCGTCATTTCGGTGTAAGATGGTTCTGTGAATACGCACCAAAGCATGACCTCAGCAGATTCATTATTATATCTCATTGGTTTTTATCACCCTGGTATATAGTGCTATTGTTGTTGTGTGGGCTTTGGAGATTTGACACCTTCTTATGACTCAGTTATTCAAACCGTGTTATAAGGCTCACACGCTTAATTGGATAGATTGCAGCCTCTGGTGCTACGAACCATGACCTGTGTTGTCAAAACTGAAGTTCTCAGTTTCAATAGTCTCAAAGCAGTGATGGGATGTAAATTCGAAGCGTATAATGAAAGAACATGATAAATCAATAATACTTGTATTGGAGTAAGATATGGATCTATGACACAGTGTTATTATATTATCTTATTGAAATATTGGGTACTACTCTTTTCATATCGAAACCCACATCATTTTGTTGCTATACGAGTATAAAAACTAATTTAGCCAGGGTAAATATAATATTGTTTAATTTAATCGCATATCGCTTGGTCTTCTTTATAAATATAACAAGATATTTAACATAACTGACATAAGGTTGCTTCAGTTGTTATTTATATCATAAAGAATGTCATCAATTTTTAATCATGATTAAAGTAAGCATCAGTTCTAAAAAATTGAAATAATGTACATTCGAACACAAAAGATTTAATATCTTGGAATGGGTCTCCTCATGAACAAGGCGGATCGGGGGAAGATTTGACTTTAGTATCACCGTACCTTATATCACAATTGTATATTTTCTGCTAAGATGATTAAATATAAACTATATGCTCTCTTATAACACAGGGTGATAAACGACATGAATACGTAATTGTATGAAGGCCATATCACAACGTTCTTTTATGCTCAGCTTAATTTGTTCAATTGTGTAGTTCCAACGGAAATGTTTAATTTGTGAATGCCTTGGTAAATACATGTAGCTGTACATATTCCGGATTGTTCAACAAAAATAGACTACTTGTATCACTGAAGAACGTGACATTTTGACTACTTTAGCGGTACAAAACTAACTGAGCATATTTTATCCCAGGAGATGGAAAGAGGAGAGTTCAAGTGTTGGTTGCTCAGTTAAGAGAACTGTTACATGGGAATCATTTGCCAGACAATGTACTTTATAACAAACAAGACATGTTTTGAATATGTATTTCCCGTTGCGGTTGTGTTAATGCAGCCAATATGTATGACAAATACGTCAATCAGAAGGGAGGTGCTCTACCAGAACAGAACTGTGGTCAATGACAATATGAGTTAACAATCTACGTATTGTTTTATCAAACATAGGACACAAAACAAATATTGATATTCTTCACCGGTGTCTTTTAAACCATCTAAAGTGCATATTATTTTACTATGTAGAATACATTACCACCAACCTACCCCAATTGGCATAAAGAATCTAAATATGAGACGATTACGCCAGTGGCATTCTTTCAATATTGATAAATAACATTCAAATTTTTAAAAAAAATGTTATGACATCATATGGGACAACTGTAAAGGAAAATTAGAGAAATATTTGACATATCATTATGATTATTGAAAATTTTAATAAAGGATACAATTATGACAAATGAAGTACAGATTCATAAACATTTAGGACTAAGTTATTTTGTTGTACCCAAGTAGTGGTTAAGTTAGTGCCTCGTAGTAGACAGTTGAACCAAAAAATAATCTGCAGTTTTTAAATGGCAATTAAGATTTTTTTAAGAAAAACTCTCTATGGATAACTTCATAAATTAGTATTAAACACTCATCTCGGGGTCACAAACACTGCAATGCATTCTGTAAGACATAAAACACTAAATTCCATGTTCAAATCAGCAGAAAACATATCCAAATAGACATTTATCTGCTTGGGTTATACCGTGTAAATCTGTGTTATCTCCTATGGGCACAGTCGCTATATATAAGTGCAATAATCTTGGACGTGACGTTAAACCCCATTTCACCTCACCTACTATTGGCACAGCATCCAACAATTCAACATTGTATTCCAAACATGATGGCAAACATGGAAATGCACATTTTCATGCAGTGTGTATTTCTCCCTTAAGGAAAGGAAGCTTTGTTTAATATGGTAAGTTTATATCAAGATTGTGTGAGAATGCATGCCATTCTTCATTGTGATCCTATGACCCTGTCATGGGAAGACTGTAAAAGAACTGAATGTTTCTCTGAAGAATAGAGTAGAACAAAATGGACTCTGTAAAAGCAATGATGTTGATATTGTGGCTTCTTTACGCATGTGTTTAGAATGGTTTGTGGGTGCATCTCTCATGTAGGTTGGACTTGGTCACCATGAGGGCAACTTAACAGGGCCTCAGTACATCCGGGACGTTTTGAGGCCAGTCGTCGTTCCTCATTTTGACAACCACTCTCTTGCTACTCGAGCTCAGTACATGGATGACAATGCCAGGCCTCATTGTTCGCATGCAGTCGCGGATTACATGAGGGCCAATGCAAAACGACTCTACCCTGGCCAGCAATGAGCCCAGATTTGAACGTCTGACTGGAGGCAGAGGTATTGTCTAAAGTCAAAAACAGTACCTGTTTTACCATGATGTTTTTGTCAGTAAATTTCAACCACAACTCACCAATATCTTCTTTAATTGTTGTCAAATGTTTCTTCTATCCGATGACATTGGTATCGCCCAGGTCCTGTGGTCAGTCATTCGATGCCATGATTTTTGCCATTTGTCATGGTTCAAAAATAGGGTGTGCTTAACTCTTTTCTTTGTGTATAGATCTTTAATCTTCTCTAACTTGGACTATGGCTCAATTGTCTATGCTGGAGCTTGCAAGGGTAATTATAGAAAAAAAAAAAACTAGATTCAATCCACCATCAAGGATTAAGACTATGTCTTGGTGCCTTTCGAACTTCTCCTGTTAACAGCCTCTATGACGAGGCTGATGACCCTTCTTTGAAACCAAGCCGTATTAAAATTGTGTCTTCAGTATATCACTAAATTCTAAATACTTCTGACTGCGTTTTTCATCCCCTCTATGAAGAACTGTTTAAGAGGAAACCAAACCACATATTATTTATGCTACTCGAGATCAAGATATTATCGCTCCATTTTGGCTTTTGTCTACTCCTCCCTGGCAGTTGACGAGGCCAGAAGTAGACGTTTCCCTGAACGTTTTCTAAAATCGGACACAAATCAACTGTCAACAGGAATATGTAAAATTAAGAAATAGATACAACACACTATATTTTCACTGCCGAGGCCAATACTATCCTTACAGCCTTGGTATACATTCAATGACAGTCTGCATGTAAACAGTTTATCATCTTTTCTGATTCTCTATCTGTCTTTAGGCACTGAAAACATTTCTCTCCGACTCATCCAATTATTATTTTAGAACTTTACAATGATCTTTCAACTGACCAATACGACATCGTCTGTTGTTGGTTGCCCAGTCATGTGGGCGCAATGGCTGACGCTGCAGCAAAAGCAGCAGTCAAATAGTCTGTGAAACCTCTCTTTATAACATACAGTGATTGGAAAATCTGTGATTGGAAATTACATCCTACAACTCATCCAAAAGAAATGGGCATAAATAAGTCACATGAAATCAAAATAAATATCGGTTACACCTACTTGGGTTGTCAGTCTAGATTTGAAGAGGTCATTTTACGACGATTTCCTACTGGCCCCGGCAGATATACCCATGAATATTTATTGAGGGTGAGGATCCTCCATTCCGTATCACTTGTGATGAAAGAATGATGGTGAAGCATGTCCTATTTGACTGTTGATTTTTCCATCACAAGGGCTAAATATTTCAAAGTTGCATCCATAAAGGATCTTTTTAATCAGATAAGTGCTCCTTTTATTATTGTTTCTTTTCAAAAAAAGAAATTGAATTAATTGATGAAGTTTGATCTTGAAAGTTATGTATTTTATAAGTTGGTAGCATATTATCATGTGAGATTTTATGTGGCTATGCCCTTGATGGGGTTGATGTAGAGTAAAATTATTGTTCTGAGAGGGTTTGTGAGCCCACGTCATTGAAAATATTTTTATGTATACCAATGTTTTAATCGCTGAATGTCTTTTTATTTTAATCTCTGGCTAAACCTTGTCCATAATCTACAATGACTTAAAGGATGGTGTAAATCCTGCTTGGGTACCATGGTCCCCAGTGTGGTGGCCTAACCTTGGTTGCTGGTTATCTATAGCCCGTTTTTATATTATATGGTTATAAATAGTGATATCTTTTAGTGGTTATATGCTAGTTTTAAAGTAAATCTGTGACACTCTAGTTGTTTTACTGTCTTTTCGTAATAGGTTTCTATGTTGTCTGAATGTAGTTATTACTCCTGACCTAACATCAGTACCCGCCAATCACACAATTAGTAGCACGTTTTAACGTCTTTTGGTATGACGCGACCAGGGCATCGAACCACCGGTCAGGCACTCCTTCCACTAGACCACGGTAGAACGGATTTCATCTTTACAGATGAGTATATTCTATTTACTAGAAGAATACTTAGATAGGTTTTGGAAGTGTAGCTTCAAACAGTCACATGCATATGATTTTGACATTAACCTTCACTTAACCATAAATATACGCGATCCACATGTCTTGATACATCTGGAACAGGTCCTTCTTTGAGGAATACATTATGATTAGTGTCTTCAGTGTATACACCAGTGTGCCAGTTCATCGACTTGATAGAAAAAAAGACATACAAAGTACTGATGAATTTTAATATAATTACGTTTTTCTTTCTGCTGTCAATTACATTACAATAATAATACATACTATTAGATGCTAAAATATGCACTAGTATAGAATAAAAAAATATGGGCTTGTATCATTTGTATGGTGATAACAATACTTTCAATGTCTACAGTCAAATATAAAGACAGGGCTATCTTTTACATCATATTGCCTTCTAGAGATGGTAATACAGAAATGGTATAAAGGTATGAAATGGTATGAATGTTACATCAAATACGTTGCTCAATGTGGCTGTTTTTTGGAGAAGTGAGATTTCTCAGAAGCGGACCTCCTTCACGAAGTTCTTTTCCTTGTCACTGGCTATGTTCAATGGGCCGCCCACGCTCTCGATGTTGCAGTTGAACCACCAGTTGAGAGTGAGGCGAGGGAACAGCCATCTGGCATGGTGACGGTCGATAGGAAACAGGCGGTGGTAGTAGTTTCCGCTGAAAAAATAGAAGCCGCCGCTGTTCATGAGCCCGGCGGAGTCCAGAGGGGGCAGATAGGACAACGCCGGGTGCTTGCTCAGTTGTTTAGGCTTCTTTGTCGTCAGTCCTGTGCTCTTTATTTGAACCTCCCATATCTTATCCCCTGTGGAAAAGAAACACAATGTCTCGATGAAGATGTTTCATGGAATGAAGGGCGTCAAGTGCTCGTTCTACAAAGCGGTCTTACCACTAAGACGATTCACATGTATTGAACGGTGAACAGCACTTGTAATATCTAAGGGATCTGGAAAATGACAACGGTTCGACATGTTCAGTTGGTATTGGTATAAACGTGGTCTGGACATGATGGTATCTGTGGATGTTGCTTGTGGCATCCCTTAATCATGATCAGGGTTTGGACCTGAGGAATATCTAAGATTAAATGGTAAATCCCTTCCACGAGTGATGTGTAAGTTAAGATTCTCTTTACAATGTTTAAAAAAACAAGTTATTAGGAAGAACAAAAACATAGACTGTTCAAATATTATTTGTACATATTGTAAATCTGGGTCCATTGAAGACGAGTTCCATGTTCTGTTTATCTACGATGCCTTTGCCTCCCAAAGAAAGAAATATTTGCCACATTTAGAAAATACATACATAAATCACCAAGTAAGGTACAATTTACTCATCTCAAGTGATGTACATATTATTAAGTCAGTAGCCATCTTTATCAAACACATTGTCAATAAGATTTCAAAGAGTTGTCAATGAAACAAATGACATGTCAGTCACGTGACTACCAAATTTATTCTGTGCACTGAATTGCACTCTGGGCCACAAGGCCGAAATACTGAACAAACACGTCTGTCTGTCACTGGGATTCGGACACACGAACATTGCTTTCTGGCAAACCTATCGGACGCAACTCATTTAACAATCAGGTGAGGTGAAATGGGTTTAACGTCGCGTCCAAGAATATTGCACTTATATAGCGACGTGCATGCACGTGTGTGTGTGTGGCTGCTTGTACTAGTCCGGACTGATGCCGATGTATAGTGCTAGCCCACTTTAACATGAATACCCCACTCAGACACAGTATACTGACTCCGAGCCGACCAGTCCTTGTTTTAGCCCCTTAATGCCGAGCGCCAGACAGGGTAACAACAAGTACCATCTTTTAACGTCTTTTGGTATGATGCGGCCGGGGATCGAACTCCGGACCTTCCGCTCTCCGGGCCACTAGACCACGGAGGCGGTCAATTTAACAATCGATAACCTTACATAGAACACGTTTTCGGTTCGATAACCTTTTTATTAGCCATACCTTTAGTAAGATAGAACGAGTTTTTCTTCATCAGTTTGAAAGCTGCGTCTATTCCAGTGGTTTTGATATCAAATTCCTCGCTGATATATTTAGGATAGCCTCCCTCAATGACAAACTCTTTCGGTTCCCACAGTTTCAGCAGATTCCTTCGTTTGTACTGATATCTCCATACAACGTCGTTCTGAAAATGTTTCACGATGTAACGAAATAAAGAACATGATATATGAGGGTGGACGCTGTGTTACGCTGAAGTAAGTAATGTTCCAACACTATCAGAACGGCATGTGGTTAACAACACGACCAGGCTCACAAGTGATGATAGCAAGAGCAAAGATTCACGTCATCCGGGACCTTTCTGACCCGGAATCCACACCGACTTAAAAAGATAATAAAAAATAGGTAATGGAACGTTTCTAATTATATAAAACCCGACAAATGTTAGATACTTCTGAGTCTTGAGTGAGTGAGTGAGTGAGTGCGTAGGGTCTTAACGCGGATACATTTTTGTGACCTGTCAGAATAAGTTCTGAGTTAAGCCCAGAAATAGCCCAGTCGTAGATTTTCACACATGTTTGGAAATGGGTAGGGCGCTAGCAGATCGATGATCATAATTTGAGCGAAACTAGCATTCGCCCTCTGAAATGCGGATCCCGGCACGTGACAGAGATACTACTTCACACGGCATATATTTCCTCTACATCCGACGCTCTCTCTATTTGCAACTGACGATCTCTCAAAATACATCTGATGCTCTCCCTATATGCATCTAACGCCCTCCCTTATGTGCATCGGACGATCTCGTTATATGCATCTGACGCTCTCTCTCTATGCATCTGACGCTCCCCAATATGCCTCTTACGCTCTCATATATGCATCTAACTCTCCCCATTAAGCAACTGACGCTCCCCGATATGCCTCTGACACTCCCCATCGGACGATCTCCTGTATGCGTCTGACGCTCCCCTATTTCCATCTGACGCTCCCCTATTTCCATCTGACTCTTCCCTATTTCCATCTGACTCTCCCCTATTTCCATCTGACGCTCCCCTATTTGCATCTGACGCTTCCCTATTTGCATCTGACACCCCCATATTTCCATCTGACGCTCCCCTATTTCCATCTGACTCTTCCCTATTTCCATCTGACTCTCCCCTATTTGCATCTGACGCTCCCCTATTTGCATCTGACGCTTCCCTATTTGCATCTGACAACCCCCTATTTCCATCTGACTCTCCCCTATTTCCATCTGACTCTTCCCTATTTCCATCTGACTCTCCCCTATTTCCATCTGACGCTCCCCTATTTGCATCTAACGCCCTCCCTTATGTACATCTGACATCCCCCTATTTGCATCTGACTCTCCCTATTTGCATCTGACACCCCCATATTTCCATCTGACGCTCCCCTATTTGCATCTGACGCTCCCCTATTTGCCTCTGACGCTCCCCTATTTGCCTCTGACGCTCCCCTATTTGCATCTGACGCTCCCCTATTGCATCTGACTCTCCCCTATTTCCATCTGACGCTCCCCTATTTGCATCTGATGCTCCCCTATTTGCCTCTGATGCTCCCCTATTTCCATCTGACTCTCCCCTTTTGCCATCTGACTCTTCCCTATATCCATCTGACTCTCCCCTATATCCATCTGACTCTCCTATATTTGCATCTGACTCTCCCCTATTTCCATCTGACTCTCCCCTATATTCATCTGACTCTCCCCTATATCCATCTTACTCTCCTCTATTTTCATCTGACTCTCCCCTATATCCATCTTACTCTCCCCTTTTTTCATCTGACGCTCCCCTATATGTATCTGACGCTCTGCTTTACGCATCAGACTCTCCGGACTATGTATCTGATGCGCCCCTTATATGCCCCTGGTGCTTCTCCTACATGTCATCTAACGCTCCCCTTATAATGATCTGCCGCTGCCCATGTATGCATCTAACGCTCCCCTTATAATGATCTGCCGCTGCCCATGTATGCATCTAACGCTCCCCTTATAATGATCTGCCGCTGCCCCTGTATGCATCTAATGCTCCCCCTATAATGATCTGCCGCTGCCCATGTATGCATCTAATGCTCCCCTTATAATGATCTGCCGCTGCCCCTGTATGCATCTAACGCTCCCCTTATAATGATCCGCCGCTGTCCATGTATGCATCTAACGCTCCCCTTATAATGATCCGCCGCTGCCCATGTATGCATCTAACGCTCCCCTTATAATGATCTGCCGCTGCCCATGTATGCATCTAACGCTCCCCTTATAATGATCCGCCGCTGCCCATGTATGCATCTAACGCTCCCCTTATAATGATCCGCCGCTGCCCATGTATGCATCTAACGCTCCCCTTATAATGATCTGCCGCTGTCCCTGTATGCATCTAATGCTTCCCTAAATATACTTTATAAGGTAACTTACCTTAAAGAGGTACGTGATGTATCGGATCTTTCTAGTCCAGCTAGTTTTATAATAGTAACTGACTGCGGCGTCCACTGTTTTCGGTCCGGGATTGAAAACATCACCAACTGGTCTAGGGAAGTCAGAATCAACACCGTTTTCGTTGAATCGGAATACTTGAGAACCTTAAAAAATACGTTTTATTAACAAAATTATTAAAAGCGATTGATACATGTGAAGGACAAAGTTTGCTTTACTAAAACAACGTAACCAACTGTAGCTCATGTTCTTATAAGACTCTCAAAAATCATAACATATCACGATGTATTCACAGTGTTACAGTTTTGGGGAAGCGCATGCTAGTGTGGACTTAAGTGACTTGTCCGCCTTTAAGGGGCACATATGTGTCAACGTGCAGAATATCACCTAGTATTTCACTACTGATTGTTTTTCGTTTTTAACTATTGGCTGGCTGTACATACAATTACTGATGACGAAGTGACCACATAGATACCATCGAGGATCATACACGAACCAGACGTACTCTAAGCCCCCATGGTCTCAGAAGAGGGAATCGAGCTTTTGCTTGCTTGTGTCACCCGGATTTTATACTGCTACATTAAAACAACTGAATACCGTATTAATACAATGTTAGTCTTTATCTGGGTTGTTTTACACGCATGTTTAATAAAGATGAGTACAATAATGAAGAGCCTGTTCTAAACGGGATATGACTGCAATATTGCCGATACGATGTATGAAGCTATGCACACGATTCTTGACTGTGATGTTAACTTTTCATTGCCGAAAAAGTAATTGAAACACACATAAAATAACCAAAACTATTCGCAATAACATTCCTAATAAAAGCGACTAAAACCTTTCCTGAGAGTGAGCGTGTGTGTGAGTATGGTTTTACGCCATTTGTAGCAATATTCCAGCAATACCACGGCGGGGGACACCAGAAATGGGCTTCACACATTGCACCTATGTTCATTAGTTCCACTTTTATGGTTCACTAATGTGGTACCTCATGCAGTTGCCTCCAGTATTGACTCCACACAGTTGGGGGGCGGTCGGGTAGCCTAGTGGTTAAAGCGTTAGCTCGTCACGCCGAAGACCCGGGTTCTATTCCCGACATGGGTACAATGTGTGAAGCCCATTTCTGGTGTCCCCCGTCGTGATATTGCTGGAATATTGCTAAAAGCGGCGTAAAACCTCACTCACTCACTCACTCACACAGTTGGAAACCCGTTGTTTAAGCGCGGTAGGCTATTCAGGGTCTCCCTTTCATTGTTGGGACATTTTTTCAAGTATATTTGATGAATTTGGGGTTTCGTTAAAAATAAAACTGAACAACTTACAACAATACGGTCTTATGTACAACATATATACAAATAATGGATTGTCACAGACAATTCTAGACTAATGCATGAATTTACTATACAATTACCAATAATCCCCAGGTGCCCACCGATTTTTAACAGAATTATTACAAATAGACCACCGCGGTCAAGTATTCGCGAAAAGGTGAGCGGATGCTGCCCCCACCGCTGGCGTCGGTCACAAATACATGCAAAGGCTAGGTGTTGACTGAGAAACATGGGACATATGGTACAAGTCAAAATTGGAAATTGCCTCGACATCTTTTTGTCACTAATGCGATAAGTTTTATAATATTCTCAACATGTCTCACACAAAAGCTTTACTGAGACCATCGATGTTGTAAACTCGATCAAACAACATTTGAGTAAGTGTTGTATGACGCTCTTTGGAATCTTGGTAGGAAGAGCACGCTCCATTGTACCTCAAAAGTTGTGAAATGTAGACACTGAAGGCGGGAGTTGCTGAATATATTACTCGACAAAAAATGAAAGTTTACTGTTGGAACGTTGACGTCATCCCCTCACACAGTCTTGTGGAGTTTTTTTGACGTTCTGAATCTTTATGCATTGATCTAAATATGAAACTGACAGGGCGAATCATTTTCAATTGCCTATTTCAGCCCACCCCGATTGTACAACTGTAATGTCAGGGGCTTAACATTTTTGCCCGATGTTGTAATTTACGTCATAAAGCATACGCATATACAATATCAACAAGGTGATATTGAGAAGTCAATAGGTAACACTACTTCGTTCACTTTTTCAACTCACAAGTGAAAATGAGAGGCTCAAAATATTTGCGGTTCAGACATAAAACTCATGACAAGACCGGAAAGAACTGTTCTACCTTTGAATCCGTATGTTTTGTCATCTCCCGCTACATCAATGGCGTCCATTTTGCCATTCCCTCTGCACAACGGGTTGGGATGCAAAGTTGGCGGTGGCAGCGTTGTACTGGTCGTCGTCGACGGTGTAGGGGTGGTAGTTTTGCGTCTTCTTGGCTTTGTAGTAGGCTTTGGCTCAGACGTCTTGCGCTTCTTCTTTTTGGTTGTAGTCTGGATAGTTGTTGACGTTGGGGTTGTTGTTTGGATAGTTGTTGTTGACGTTGGGGTTGACGTTGGGGTTGTTGGTGTTGTTGTTGGAGTTGTTGCTTTTGTTTTTCGGGGCGTTGTCTTTTTAGCGGGGGTCGTTCTTTTTTTCATCTTTTTCTTTGTTGTGGGAGCAGTTTGCGTCACTCGTCTCTTCTTGGTACTTGCTTCAGTGGTAGGCAACGTGGTCGTGTTTGGAAAAACGGTCGGCACACCCGGCGGTCCTGTAAGATGGCGTAATATTTTATTTTAAAGTAAGTTATGGTGAATATCAACAGTACATTACAGTCAATTCTAGTCAATCCAACCCGTGATGATCCGGGTAAGAATTGGTATTCAGCAACCCACGCTTGTTCCCTGTGCAGATTCGGGTCTTCAGCATCCCCTGCTTGTGCTAAGGGGCGATTATTCTTGTAGAAAGAGTGGTGGTCAGGCTCGCTGACGTGGTTGATGCATGACATCGTATCCCAATTACGTAGATCGATGCTCATGATGTCCATTGCAGGCTTCTCTCGTTCTCACTCACTTTTTACAGACCACCATCATAAATATTAAATACTGCCGTGTGCAGCGTTAAACAAGACACAAACAGAATCTCATCAATACCTTTCATACGAAACCTTACCGTATAGTCCCTACCATATGTCGTTCAAATTACCATATAGTCGTTGTATGGCATCAACGTCTGACGCCCCCAGCGTGCCGTTCCCGCAGCCTTGTGCCCAGGGCCACATGATGGAATCTGTATCGTCGGAGTGGTCCAGACCAAGAGCGTGCCCAAACTCGTGCACGGCCACACAGAACAATCGTCGTCCTATCGAATAACAGTTAAATGAATCAAATGAAATCTTAATACATGAATATTAATACCTATCAATAAATTATTGAGACAATAATGTGATTCATAATGAATTTAATGTAAATATATACAAACAACTGATTGATAAACATAAGTATTAAGTAGATTTAGTTTACTTAGATTTAAATTCAGAGTAACTTACCTTTTATAAGATCATATATTCAAATCTTGTCTTATATGTACAGACAATTTTGTGCAGTTGGTTTAACATTACCTCATTAAAGTACTCCTATAATATGCAGTTAGAGGTTCATTCACATTAGTAGAAATGGATCACTGGCGCAAATTAGGAAATAATATAAGCGATTTAAGTATTTAGTGGTAATTATTAAGCACAATATCATTGGTTTCGATGAATAGTTAATTTGATGTTGTTAAAACGTATATTCCCCTGCATAGGGCAGGTGTCATCTTCGCATATCCAGATTGTTCTCCAGGGTATATTTCATAACAGAATGATGCCATTGATAATATAATCGATAATTGATAATGCCGAAGTGTCCATTATCGTTGATGAGCATTTTCTATTAACATTGACTTCTTACCTTCATACCTTCATAGTTATAGAATGACTGTGTTAATAGTCTGGACCAGACAATCCAGTGATTGACATCATGAACATCGATCCACGCAATTAGGATACGATGACATACATATACCAAGTCAGCGAGCCTGACCACCCTATCCTGTGAGTCAGCTCTTACGATAAGCATAGTCGCCTTTTACGACAAGCATGGGTTGCTGAAGACCTATTACAACCCTGATCTTGACAAATAGATACATTACTGGGGACCTGTTTTCGTACCCATCCTACCAACGGGTTGTCACAATTAGTCGGCAAGCATGGGTACACTGGTGGTTGGTGGTTGGTATTCCAACAAAGCACAAGTTTCATTTTATTTCAAATTTGTCTGAGTTTGTCTCAGGTTCTTTGTTATATTTAAACTGAGATATACAGTTATGCAGTCTTTCAGACCGATTAGGTGCTTAGAAATACATAGGTTAAGTCGGTTGTAATTTTTAAACCTCCTGTAGTCCATAAAGAGGGGGAGGGGGGGAGGGGGGGGGGGGGGGGGGGGGGGGGGGGTAGCACGGGTGGCCAAGTCGTCTAAGGCGCCGCGATACGCTGTGCAGAGTTGCGTCCCTTGGGCACGCCACAAACCTATCATTGTGGGTTCGAATCCCGGTTCGCCCCAATTATGTTTCTAGGTTTGTCAGCACCATACCCGTGCTCGTGGGTTTCACCGAAGTGGTAAACGTCTTAGACCTGCATCACTTCGGGCTTTCCTCCCACATTAAGCTGACACGCCGTGATATAACTGGATTAATGTTAAAAGCGGCGTAAAACCCAACTCACTCACTCACCATACACAGGCGGCTGTCCCTGTTTCTCCAACAAAATTCAAAGGGTCTACTTCGTTTTCGACTCGTGAAGACCCTGGGTAGAATAGGTTTTCAGCAACCCATGCTTACCGTAAAAGGCGACTATGCTTATCGTAAAAGGCGACTAACGGGATCGGGTGGTCAGGCACGCTGATTTGGTTGATGCATGTCATGGTATCACAGTTGGGCACATCGATGCTCATGATGTCCATCACTGGATTGTATGGTTTTCATTTGATATTGATTTTGTACATTCCATAGCTGATTCATTTAATGTCATTTCAAGTGATATCGCGACTATTCCATACATACAATTTGAAAGACCTGAGAAAACTATGCACTTGTCACAAAAAATGTTGATTGGTACAACTATACTTAAGTCTGAATTCTACAAAGTACCGTCGAAGTCAATATCATTCCCAATTGTATAAATATTTAAAATGCTACTAATTCCGTCTGTCGTATCGAACTTCATCACACGATGATTTATTAGTCGAGCGCAACATAAAATCACATACTCAATTGCGTATCACATATTATCACGTCAGGTCAACTGGGTCACTATGACTACCACATTAAGTTAATGACTTAACATTAAAACTAATAATTGAAGACGTTAATCCAGCGTGCACTTATGGAACACTGTATGATGAGGGGACGTCGTGTTGTGTTAATACAGGTATAAATACTTGAATAAATGCTTATATAAATGAAATAAAAAATCTACCTACTGAAAATGATTATGTGCCACTACTTGGGGTTTCACATAGAGTGAGTGAGGGAGTGAGTGAGTTGGGTTTAACGCCGCTTTTAACAGTATTCCAGTTATAATCGCGGCGTGTCAGCTTAATGTCGGAGGAAAGGCCGAAGTGATGCAGGTCTTTTACCACTTCGGTGAAACCCATAAACACGGGCATGGTGCTGACAAACCTAGAAACATAATCGGGGCGAACCGGGATTCGAACCCACAATCACAGGTTTCTTGCGTGCCCAAGGGACACAACTCTGCACATCGAATTGCGGCGCCTTAGACGACTGGGCCACCGGTTCCCCCGGTTTCAAAGAAAATGTAGGTGTTGTCTGTTATGTACTTACATAGTATTCAATTTAGAGGTTAATATTTAAACCTCTTGCTAACAATTCCGGTTAAGGAAACCGCGTTTGAAGTCTCTAAATTGTGATAATATCTTTTAATCCTCACTAACACACGTGGTACTGACCAGGAGCATCGTCATCTAGCAGGACTGTCCACATCTCTGCCTCGTCAAAGTGGGTGTCTCCTCCAATCAGATTACTGGGATACGTAGGTGGAAAGAACGCATGCGCAAGAACTCCTCCTTCGCCATCAAATGGATTGTTGTCACCGTGGACGCCGTGAGTAAACTTGATTTCAATATCCACCGCGTCACGTGATGAAACACGAGAGAAGGTTAGCGGAGTGACATCCGCCCACACCTAGATATTAACAGGATAGACATGTCGCAATCACTATAATTATGTTGCTTGGAAACTACAGAGATGTTCAAAAAGTAACATTTCCAAATTTGGAAACAACTTTGTAAAGACTGATTTCTGTTTTTCATGTTTTCAAAATTGAAGTGAGGGCTTTAAAATTCAAAACCTTCCTCATCTCAGCAGACATATCTTTCCAAATATTCCCATCCGTTGGAACATCAACTTTGCAAATGGTTGTAATATGTCATTTTTGTTCTAAAATCGCTTATTTCCAAGAGTGGAACGTTTGGAAATATCTGGAAAAAGAGTCCGTGCGATGATATCCAGTGTGATTAAAGGTGAGGTGAAATTGGGTTTAACGTTGCGTCCAAGATTATTGCGCTTATATAGCGACGTGTATGTGTGTGTGTGTGTGTGTGTGTGTGGCTGCTTGTACTAGTCCGGAGTGATGCCGATTTATATTGCTAGCTCACTGAGATACCATGCCGCAGTTTAACATGGATAGCCCACTCAGACAAAGTAAACTGACTCCGAGCCGACCAGTCCTTGTTTTAACCCTTTAATGTACATGTCGAGCGCCAGACAGGGTAACAACAAGTACCATCTTTTAACGTCTTTTGGTATTACGCGGCCGGGGATCGAACCCCGGACGCTTTACCACTAGACCACAGAGGCGGTCCAGTGTGATTAAAGCCAGCCCTTCCACAATGCAAAGGTCAAATAACGACCCCCACTAAGTCGCAATACCCACTACTGTTCTCCTTGCGAGTTGAAGTCTGATGCCTACTTCTAGTCTTGGCCTGGCAGTATTGACTTGTGCCATGTATTTTGTGGCAATAGAGATTGTTGTACATTTTTTTGCAGTGATTGTCTGTGCAAGCAAATGACTCAAACGCTCGTAAACTATCGAGGGCCATATTGTGAAAAGGAGTGTTGTCATATGCTGAATTACCTCCATTTGTTATTGTTAATGAACATAGCTAAACTTGATCGTTGGAGAGGTTTCGTGTTTCTAGACGGCCTTCCGTGCCTATATATTAGAGCGATTCGAGGACTTTGACGGTTTGACTTGCGTAGTATCTACTTACCTGATTTCATCACTATTTCATATTGATTCATAAACTCATCCTTTTGTTGTAGTGAGTGAGTATGGTTTTACGCTGCTTTTAGCAATATTCTAGCAATATCACGGCGGGGGGCACCAGAAATGGGCTTCACACATTGTACCCCTGTTGGGAATCGAACCCGGGTCTTCGGGGTGACGATCGAACGCTTAAACCACTTGGCTACCCGACCGCCCCCTTTTGTTGTAGTCGGAATTATACAATTGACTCTAAGGACATTATGGAAATGGATTGTTTCGTGTTTATTACTTTCTACATCGGTAAGTGTTATATTTGTCTAGTGGATAAAGCATCTGCCGAGAGAGCGTAAGGTCGCTGGTTTGATCCCCGGACGTCATACCAAATGACGTTGGTACACATTGTTACTGTAAGTGATTACAACAAGAATAAGTCGGCTCGGAATTTTCACAACTTAGTTCTTCACAAAATATTCTGGTAATTCATTTAGTAAAACATCAAAGTCACAACACAACACGGCAAGTCACAACACAACACGGCATTTCTGCCCTGAAATAAATCACAAGCACAACCTACCTGAAACGCATCTTCCAGCGCACGATCGACTTCACCTCTGGGAAGATCAGGCGTGTACGTGGTCACGAAATAGGTGAGGTCATGTTTCTTCCATTTCAGAACTATGAACAGAAGGGGGGAGTTAATCAAACACTTCATGGTTTAAAAAAAATTAAATTGAGCAACATTTGACAGGAAGGGTGGTAAAGAATGCATTTTACGGGAAGCGCATGGACTTGCTCCCCACATAACCACATGAAATAAATACTGTCGAGCATATAATGTTTAGTTACCAAAATTAATCACGCGGTCACTGAGGTGATTGCCACGCGTAATTATAGAACTTCTATTTTTGAGTAAGTTTTCGATGTTGATTTCCCATGTTTATTAAATGCCTACGTCCTACCGTTTGGTAATGAATTGGCCGCCAGTGCATAACGCGCAGATCGTATAGTTTAAGCAGATTCTATCACCCAGATGCCAAAAATGAATATATTATCGTATACGTTTTTACAAAAATCATCTAAACTAAAGTAACTTTTAGCTGCTTCTTTTCCTTAGAAAGACACCATAATGTTTCTGAAGTCGTGTGTACGTTTAAATAATGAACACCTACTTTGAACTAACATATTCATACTTCCTTTCGCTACTCTTATTCTCTTATCTACTGGAGACTTTACTATGAATGTACATGTACGCGGGGCGTTCAATAAGTTTTGCAACTTCAATATAAGACCAAGTCGCAGAATATCTTTTACACTTTTAATTTTCAATATAATCTCCATTCACCTCAAGACACTTATTCCATTTGTCCTTCAAGCTTTTAATACCACTTTTATAGAAATCCACAGATTGGCCCTCTACAAACGATCTCCTGTCTACAAGCTTGACCATGGTGTCCTTCAAGGCTCTGTCTTAGGACCAATACTGTTTACGCTATATACGCGATCTCTTAGCAACATTGCTGAAAGGCACGAAGTCAACCAACACTAGTATGCTGATGGTAACCAGTCTGTATGTTGGTTTCTCACGTGGCGATGCTGGAGCTTGGGTTGCCAAGATTGAAAGCTGTATAATTATATTGATATAAAGCAGTGGATGACATCGAAACTGCTGAAACTTGGCCAACTGATGTTCAACAACTTGTTACAGGTAATGTATGTGTTACTGTGTTCGCTGTGATGAGTGGAAAAATCTGGGCGTGGTACTGGACCCGCAGCTGAGTATGATTTTGTTTGTTTGTTTGTTTGTTGCTTAACGCCGCACTCAGCAATATTCCAGCTATATGACGGCGGTCTGTAAAATAATCGAGTCTGGACCAGACAATCCAGTGATTGATATCATGATCATCGATCCACGCAATTGGGATCGATGACATGCATCAACCAAGTCAGCCAGCCCGACCACCCGATCCCGTTAGTCGCCTTTTACGACAAGCACAGTCAACTTTAACGGCAAGAATGGGTTGCTGAAAACCTATTCTACCCCGGAATCTTCACGGGTCCGCAGCTGAGTATGAACCATCAAGTGACTAGGGTGTGCCAAACAACTAATTGCCATGTCAATAATATTGGTAAAATTCGGCCATATCTCACACAATCATTTGCAGCAAAACTTGTATTGTCTCACGAATTGACAATTGTAAGAACGTACTTGTAACTCAACCTATCCGGGATCTCCTCACTTTGCCACCACCTATTGTTCCCAGTATGAAAATTAGTCAGGCATGCTAATTGGTTAAACAATAGAAGTCATCACAAAATTTTGATATACGATATGCACAAAAATTTAATTATTTTATTCTATATAGCACTTCATATCATATCATGAAAATTAACCTTCTTATATAGCAGGATCTACAAACTGAACGTTGATCGTTAATCAGTAATTAATCAACAAATAAGAAAATTCGCTCACCAATACTGCCAGTGAACACTTTTGACATTAATTGAGGGGGTGAACTCAGTTCAATATTTGGTGACTTTGATATGGCCCCCATGCTTGTATAAACATTGCTACTGTTAATCCCTGGACCCGGTTGTATCAAACTTTAATGATGCATAACGTGTATTTAACCTTCATTAACTAATTAATCATTAGGGTTTAATGTAGCCATTAGTTAATGAGGCTTTGATACAACCGGGTCCTGGTGGCAAAGTGAGGATAAACCCTCTATCCAAAGACCAGATTAACAGATTTCAGGCCAAAGCTGCTTGGATTATATTCAGATCTATATTGGATCATGTCTCTCAGCATCTAATGGCGCTCCAGTTGCTGCACGAGTAAACGTTAAGATCATCATAATGCCACAAAGTGTTATAACAACCTTGCACCTGCCAGTGAACTCTTACCGATTTACTCTCTTAAACTCTCTGATCTCAACAACGACATCTATTCACAGTTTCCGTATTAGAAATGTAAAGTCAGCAAAAGAACATTATCATACGCTGCCGCTTCTCTGTGGAACAATATGCCGGGAAATCTAAAATCTGATCCAACTATATCCACTTTCAAATCCAAGCTTAATATATTTCTTTTTCAACAGTCTTGCAGTTGTTAAAGCCCAGAGAGCATATTCATTTTGCTAACTGTTGCGCTCGAAAAACTTTGATGTTGTATATAACACATGTTTATATCTATATAAAGTCCAACGGCTAAGAGAAACTTAAATCGGCTACTTCCTTGGCATGCGTAGTTCATGAAATCACTCATTGTCTGTATTATGGGCCTATGGCCTTCTTACTGAATAAACTGTCTGTCTGATAAGTGCATGTATTATTATTATCATTATTAATATATCAACACTCTTATGTACATTCTCGAAAGCGGGTATACAGGTGCTGTCACTCCAATATGTATTCAGACAGTGAATCAGACAGGAAGAATAACTTTCTGAAATCACAAAGATTTCGTGTATAACAAATACGTCCACATATCTTTGGTACCAAGAAGGGGCGGTCGGGTAGCCTAGTGGTTAAAGCGTTAGCTCGTCACGCCGAAGACCCGGGTTCGATTCCCGACATGGGTACAATGTGTGAGGCCTATTTCTGGTGTCACCCGCCGTGATATTGCTGGAATATTGCTAAAAGCGGCGTAAAACCTCACTCACTCACTCATTGGTACCAAGATGATGTCGGGTTTCAGAAAAAGAGTGAGTGAGTCATGTTTAACGTCGCTTTGAACAGTCCTTCAGTTATATTACATCACGTAAGCCCGCGGTTATATGTCTCTAACAACCCGGGACGCAATTCGCAATGGCGAACGGATGAGCTTAAGACGACTAGGCCTCCTGTGTCCATCAGGGGATTTGTACAAAAAGATGAAATTGGCTATATATTGGTTACCTGGTTTGTTCCGAGCAAATCGTCTTCTGCCCGGTCGTTCTCTTCTCATGACATCCGGAACACCACACCTCTCCTTCCCCATCCACTCCAGCGTAGGCGTATCAAGTTTACCTGACAGAACACAAGGCAGTGGCGAGAGAGTGGGGAATTCTGTCACGTAAGTATGTTATAGAACTGAAACAACGTTTTCAAGTTTTCGAGATTAATAGCTGAAACAACTGCCCATGCAGTTGGTGTGCAATGACATACACTGAAGCGTCTGTCCATGCACTTTGTGTGTGATTGCATCAGCTGAAGCATCTAGTTAATGTGCAATGGCTTCAGCTGAAGCGTCCACTCATGCAGTTAGTCTGTGCAATGGCGTCAGCTGAAGCCATACAGTTGGTGTGCAATGGCATCAGCTGAAGCCATACAGTTGATGTGAGATGACATCAGTTGAAGCCATACAGTTGGTGTGCGATGACATCAGCTGAAGCCATACAGTTGGTGTGCAATGGCATCAGCTGAAGCCATACAGTTGGTGTGCGATGACATCAGATGAAGTCATACAGTTGGTGCGCGATGACATCAGCTGAAGCCATATAGTTGGTGCGCGATGACATCAGCTGAAGCCATACAGTTGGTGTGCGATGACATCAGCTGTCGCCATACAGTTGGTGTACAATGGCATCAGCTGAAGCCATACAGTTGGTGTGCGATGACATCAGCTGAAGCCATACAGTTGGTGCGCGATGTCATCAGATGAAGCCATACAGTTGGTGCGCAATGACATCAGCTGAAGCCATACAGTTGGTGTGCGATGACATCAGCTGAAGCCATACAGTTGGTGCGCGATGACATCAGCTGAAGCCATACAGTTGGTGTACAATGGCATCAGCTGAAGCCATACAGTTGGTGTGCGATGACATCAGCTGAAGCCATACAGTTGGTGCGCGATGTCATCAGCTGAAGCCATACAGTTGGTGCGCGATGACATCAGCTGAAGCCATACAGTTGGTGTGCGATGACATGTGATGAAGTCATACAGTTGGTGTGCGATGACATGCACGTGATATGAAACAAATACGCTTGCAGTTAATGTGCAATGGCTTCAGCTGAAGCGTCCACTCATGCAGTAAGTCTGTGCAATGGCATCAGCTGAAGCCATACAGTTGATGTACGATGACATCAGCTGAAGCCATACAGTGAGTGAGTAAGTGAGTGGGTTGGGTTTAACGCCGGTTTTAACAGTATTCCAGTTATATCGCGGCGTGTCAGCTTAATGTGGGAGGAAAGCCTGAAGTGATGCAGGTATTCGACGTTTACCACTTCGGTGAAACCCACAAACACGGGTATGGTGCTGACAAACCTAGAAACATAATCGGGGCGAACCGGGATTCGAACCCACAATCATAGGTTTCTGGCGTGCCTAAGGGGCGCAACTCTGTACAGCGAATCGCGGCGCCTTAGACGACTGGGCCACCCGTGCCCCCTGAAGCCATACAGCTTGTGTACAATGACATACATGTGACATGAAACAAATACTCCTGCAGTTAGTGTACGATGACATCAACAAACACAACTATACACTCAATATACAACAACCGTGATATTATTATACTGGAAGCTTACACTGACCCCGCTTCAACACGGAAAAGCGACTTTGTAACTGAATAACAATACACTCAATCTGCGCGAAGCCATAATTGAGTCAGTGGCACCTCCAGGACCTGGGCGCTATTTCCGAACGCCCAAAGCAGCAAAGATTCCATGAGAAACAATTTGGTGAACATGAATTTCAACGCTGGAGCATGACAAAGTTCACTTCGGTTTTGTCGCTTAATACAAAGACGTGGTACATATAGAGAATCTCACCCGAGTGTCTTTTGATATCAAATATATATATCAACACGAGGCTTGCCGAGAATTTTTGCCCCTTTTATCAACGAGTGTTGATATATTTGATATCAAAAGACACAAGGGTGAGATTTTATTTTTCATCCAACATCATTCTTCCTGCTTTTTCAATTTGTAAACAGTATATAGCAGTGTAAAAGTACTGCTAACAGCTTCAGTAGCAGAGCCATTAGTGATGTCATTTGATTGTGACGTCATGGTAACCAGTGACGACACAATGGTCTGCAAAGCATTGTGATGTAATTTCATTGCAGCGATATCTACACTGTAGATATCGCTAGATCTCATCCAAACGATATCTCCTGTGGGAGCCAGTTTTGGATGATAAATAAACGTATTTAGCTCTGTAAGTTATATAGTTTTCGAAATGAATACAAGTATATTTGAGCACATTGCGCGAAAATTGTAAAGTAAAAAATCCACCTGTGATGTTTATTCCAGCCAGCTCTTGAAACAGAGCTATGGCCGCATCCAAAGCCTCAACAGAACGCGGGTCTTGAGACCAGGATACGCGCGTTGAGATGTATCCGAATCGACCAAGCCAGTCCTGAAATATTTCACCAGACATGTATATTCTTCATGCGCATAAACCCACCCATCTACGTACTTGCCGTAAAAGGCGTCTATGCTTGTCGTAAGACGCGACTAACGTGATCGGGTGGTCAGGCTCGCTGACTGGGTTGATGCATGTCATCGATCCCAATTGCGTGAATCGATGTTCATGATGTCAATCACCGGATTGTCTGGTCCAGAGTCGCTTATTTACAGACCGCCGTCATACAGCTGGAATATTGCTGAGTGCGGCGTTAAACAATAAACAAAGAAACATACAAAGCGAAACCTTGTTGATTGCTTTCATATTTTAACATTATCACCTCGACATACTTCCTCTCGACACTTTAGTAACATATCTATTTCTCGACCATCCGGCGCTTACTACCGATGATATATACTACTCAAAAGAAGTAAAGGATCTCCCGATTATATCATATTACCAGCGTTCATCTGTAAGAGTATAGTGATATGAAAGAATCGTGTGATCCTTAACTTCTTTTGAGTCGTGTACGTCTCCGGGACTTCCAGTAAAAAAATGCCAAGCAATAGAAAGTATACACTTGAAAAATTGATTTGAAAAAGAATTACAGATATATAAAATTCAAGGCCGAAAACAGTTGCCGAAACATTGCAAACGTAACATGCAAAACACATATTTCATGCCTATAACAAGTACATCACATAACCATTACGTGTCTGTGTTCTTGTCTTCCCCCCGTCATGTGTGTATGCTTTAGTTTGTACTGTACAGGGGCGGTCGGGTAGCCTAGTGGTTAAAGCGTTTGCTCGTCACGCCAAAGACCCTGTTTCGATTCCCGACATGGGTACAATGTGTGAAGCCCATTTCTGGTGTCCTCCGCCGTGATATTGCTGGAATATTGCTAAAAGCGGCGTAAAACCATACTCACTCACTTGTACTGTACATATAATAATCACATGTACAATCACTCGATTGTATCAATTCAGGGGTAGGCTAGGTATAAACCTAAAAATACAAAATGAAAAGGTTATCATTGTTCATGTACAAATATATGTGTTCTCGATACACTTGCATGCTACGAGGGAAGGTTGACAACATGAAAGGTCAGGTCATTTTTGAATTATGAGCGAATTTACGCTTAAAGTTTAAAGCGTTAAAACTATTTGCCATAACAACCAAAGTTATTTAGGTTATGAAACAAACTTGAATGTGTACATGAAAGGGCGCCATTCATTCCAACTCTAAAACTTGCCAAGACACTCATATAATGGCGTCTGATATGACATACCGTATTCGACGTAATAAGCGCCCCGCTCTAATAAGCGCCCACGGCGATATTTGCTAATTTATTGGCTAGTGAACAATCCCAATTAGCACCCCTTCCGATTGATCAATGTACACAGGACTGATTTATTCGCGTATAATACGCACTCGTGTGTTACATGCATTCTTAATTATTGGCAATTAAATCCTGGAAAAATATATCTGTTTCATTTGAACATTTCAGTCTGTCAGCATAAACCACGAAATTTATCTTTCAACTCTGTCTTTTCCACCAAAATAATATTCTAATAAGAGACCCCTATTTCTTATTTTGAGAGCGCCCTGGGCGCTTATTACGTCGAATACGGAATATAAAAAACGTCAACGCTATTGAATAACCAGTCTCGATTATCCGCTGAAACAGGATCCGCTGGGCGTAAAAGGCAACATCGGGGTCGAAATTATCTGAATGGATCACTGAAGGTCAGTTATGACACAAAGTGTTCGCAAAAAGGGTTAAACCGTTAATCCATGGACCGCCAACAAGATAGTGTTTACAATGGACTACAACGGAATTCTTATGGAACACCTGGTGTCATCACTGATTTTCAGTGGTCCATTCATAAAAAAAATCATAGGTATTTTCCCTTTACGCCAAATTAAATCTGTTTCGGCGGGTACTCTAGGCTGGTTAGTCTCTTGCACTGACATTTGATATTAGTATCATGAAGATAGTTTTCTCACCGTTATTCACAGGACAATCCAAATAAAGACTTCTCGATAAGACCCACAGCAACAGCCGTGCAACATCTCATTCGGGCTTGTAACGACGCGGTTAACATGACGGCATTGACATCACATTTGGCTTCTATTGTGATGTTTTTGTTACTTGTTAAAGTGTATGTTAAAGTGTAATAATAAAATGACCACAATTTTTAATGTACAAAATTAGAAGTACTCGATATTATGTTTTCTGTCATTCTAACTACTTTTGTGAAATGGATACGTCTGTTTTAAAATTTTCGTTTGTTTTATTCTGTAGTAAAAGTGAGGAACTTCCCTCCACAAAAAACCTAAATCCTTAGAATGTTATCATAAGTCGCCATCTTTCGTCTGAGGGTTTGTCTGAAGACGAGACGAAATAAAAGTACGTCTAGTCTGACGCTGTGTGGAATATGTGTCCAAGTCACAGCGCGTCAGCTTAATGTGGTAGTGCAAAGTCAGATGGTCGTAGACGTTGACAACGTCGCTGACAGCCCTGAGCACAGGTATTGTGCTGACAATCCAAGTATTATTATTGTGGTGAACTGTAAAATATTCCAAGACAACTGGGGCAATGGTACATGTGTCCAGGGAGAACAAAGGGGGGGGGGGGGGGGGGGGGGGGGGGGGTGAATAACATTATAAAATATGAATATGGAACTTTATACCACAACTTCCTTGTGTTGTTATTGTTGAAGAGCGATGTCTTTTGTACTGTTCCTTTACCTTGGGAATTAGATCTTTCGCTCAACAAGAGTGAGTGAATATGGTTTTACGCCGCTTATAGCAATATTCCAGCAATATCACGGCTGGGGACACCAGAAATGGGCTTCACATCTTGTACCCATGTCGGGAATCGAACCCGGGTCTTCGGCGTGACGAGCGAACGCTTAACCACTAGGCTACCCGACCCGACCGCCCCTCGCTCAACAAGAGCAACCCAAAGGGGCATTATCACATCCTTGACACCATCTTGGTTTTCTGGTACAACATATTAATATCAACCCCAAAGGATGAGGACTTTAAATAGTTCCAGGGAAAAGTTTAGATTCACGATCTGATAGCATGCAATGTATATTCCTCACTGTTCAGTCTGGTTACCGTGGTTACAATCAGCATTGACGGTGATGTCGGGTATTATTTCGATTATGCAGCAGTCACGATTTCGTTGAAAGTAGGGTTTATTCAGACTGATGGGATAAAACAACCCATTGTGATTTGTTCGCAATAAACGATGCATGGCGCGACTGCAGCTTAGCGGCTATGCATTATTTCTGAGTTAGTTCTGATACTTAACACAAATAACTTTGTCAGAGTGTATCAGCAGTGAAAACGGTAGCCATCAATCTGTTCGTTTGTTTAACGTGATGTTTGCTTCACTTGATCATATAGATCTACGTCCCCACACTTAACAATAATTAAAGCGATTGCCTTGACCTTTTTGAAACCCCGGAGTGTCACGTTAGGCTGCACAAGCAAATGAATGTCAACATGTTTTGATTATAAGCATAGTTTCGAATGTTGCCGCGGTGCATTTGATGGTTCTAGATTGAATATAAAACAGAATGAGCAGCACCCATTGAAAAATACAGAACTTTATCTCTATTTCACTGTGATGAAATGTAACATGAATTCTTTGGTGTTTGGGCAGTCTCCGCGGTGTACTGGATAAAGCCAGTGCCCGGAGAAAGGATCCCGGGCGCGTCAAACGAATGACGTTAAAAGTGCTTATTGTTATCCTGCCTGGTGCTCGGCATTAAAGGGACTAAAACTAGAACTGGTGGGCTCGGAATCTACGTATCCTTGTTAAACTGCGGCATGGTATATCCATAGGGTACCGCTATAAGTGAGTGAGTGAGTTGGATTTAACGTTGCTTTTAACAGCATTCCAGTTATATCACGGCGTGTCAGCTTAATGTGGGTGAAAAACCCGAAGTGATGCAGGTCTTAGACGTTTACCACTTCGGTGAAACCCACGAGCACGGGTATGGTGCTGACATACTTAGAAACATAATCGAGGCGAACCGGGATTCAAACCCACAATCTTGCGTGCCTATTTGACGCAACTCTGCACAGCGAATTGCGGCGCCTTAGACGACTGGGCCACCCGTTCCCCCGGGCAGTAGTCAATTCAGTGCAATCACACACACACACACACACACACACACACACACACACACACACACACACACACACACACACACACACACACACACACACACACACACACACACACACACACGAGCATTCACGTCGCTATAGAAGTGCAAAAATCATGAACACGGCGTTAAAACCCCATTTCACCTCACCTCACCTTCTGAGATAGTTAAGGTCTTTTCCAATATATATCAACTTCAACGCTCTTTGCGGCCGTCAAATCAGCTGTTTCAGTAAAAGCTATTATTGTTATTTGAAACCCCTCGTCAGCTTTGGTAGGCATTTTTAAATCTTTGTAATATCTGTCTTATAAACTGTAAGACGTAGTCTTCTAATACGTTCACATTATACTTGCTACTGCTAGCATTCTCTCCCACGGTAATTACCAGGCTAAATAAGTACGCTGCACACATACTTGACGTAGGGTTCAAATGGGAATAACGCGCGTGCAATATTAATGTGTGCCGTGGCTGGATTGTCGTAGCATGACAGCGTTGATTGTCTTACAGTCAACCACACATCATGGGTGTTAGTCAGAATAAGTCTTGCTGCACGGACCCATTAGGAGCAGTCATGGTGTTGACTCGGCCATAACTATTGGTTGCAATAAAGTTAGTTGAAGATACAATTAGGGCACACTCGGCCCTGTCGTGGTAATCAGTTGTGCAGATTTGCGTAATTTATGCGTGCCAGAAACATTTGATCGTGGGTTCGAATCCTGGTTGCCCTGAAGACGTTTTGTGCTTTATCAGCATCATGTCGTGGACTTCACCTATGTGATGAACGCCTAGTTTCTGCCCCACTTCGTTTTTATAGGTTTCAACAAAATCAGTAATGGTACTTTCGTGTAACTTGATTTTCTGGTCCATCGATCACATGACGTCGCATGGCAGGAGTACTGCTTTTCTGCGTCAGGCAATGAATACTTACTTGTATGAGTAGTGGTGCCACCGGTAGGGCAGAAAATGCTTGCCTTTTTCGCGAACACCTGGTGTCATCACTGATTTTCAGTGGTCCATTCATATAATTTCCACAGTAATTTGCCCTTTACGCCAAGTTCGGCAGAAAATCTAGGCTGGTTATTCGCTTGCATTGACAATTTATATTTACCTCCGTCATCGTGATATAACTAAAATGATGCTCAAAGCGGCTTCATGCCCACTCATTGTCTAGAATCATACAATATCTTACCACAGCCTCGAGGGTATTTCGTGGTTTATGCAGATTCTGTGGCTCCAAGTCACACGATCCATTATGGGGATGGGTCTCGCCCTGCCCCGCCCAGAGGAGAAGTAGGACTGCTGCAGGGAGCATTGCTAAGCCCGCTGTCGTTGTGGGTGATGGTTTAAACTAATACATACATATGGCACGGTGAACAATGAGACGTAAGTGTATAGGAAGCTAGGTCCTTCCTATAGCAGGAAACAGAGTATAACCTTCGACATATTGGATATACGATAAGATGAGTGTCGTCAATGTGTGTATGTATATATATCATAAAGTTTCATTCCTTGATAATAAGCTTATCTTGTCATAATGGAAATTAGATGAAGTTCATCATTGTTATAGTGGAATATTACTTATCATAATATTACTGAATTATTAGAAACCAACAAACAGGCTCTAACTGGAAATAAACATAGTAATTTAAAAGGCAAAACAAGAGTTACCCGGAAAATATAAATATCAATTCATCAGGTGATAAAGGTGCAACGTTAAACGATTATATTGTCTTGTAAATATTGTCAACATTTCGTGTTGTATTATTGTTGAGTGAGTGAGGTTTGAACAGTATTCCAGTTACGTCAAAGCCTGTCAACCTAATGTGGGAGGAGTGAGTGAGTATGGTTTTACGCCGCTTTTAGCAATATTCCAGCAATATCACGGCGGGGGACACCAGAAATGGGCTTCACACATTGTACCCATGTCAGAAACGAACCCGGGTCTTCGGCGTGACGAGCGAACGCTTTAACCACTAGGCTACCCGACCGCCCCTAATGTGGGAGGAAAGCACTAAGGAATGCCATGAGCAGAAGTAACTAGAAACATAATCAGGGGAACCGGGATTCGAACCCACGATTTTAGGTTCTGACGTGCCCAAAGGACGCAACTCAGCGACTTAGACATCTTGGCCACCGGTGTCACTGTATTACTGGAATAACATGATGCTAAATGTTCTTTTCCTTTCCTAAGGACATGTTAGTGACTAAACAATGTTTGCAACTTCCGTCATGAACAGCAAGTCTCCATATTACGTCAGTAATACAAGATATGATGGCACAGCCTTGTGGTTAAATTTGAGAGTTGCCACGAAAAAGAACCAGGGCTCAATTCTCTGATGAATACATTTGCAGGATAGATTGGTCTGCATGTTGACCTAATACCTATTTTACCTGTTTACAGACGGAATTCTATGCCACGTGATATTGGGACTGTGCATCCTCGAGGTTCTACTACACCAAATCAGTACCAGTTTGGACAGTGCGGTTTTCAGTGCAGATCGAGAGATTTCTGCAGGCTGTGATTGGAGGATATTCTGTCTTTCAAATGTACATCCATCCAGTTATTAAAAACTGACCATGTTTTTCTTTATTTAGTACTGTTTTTTTCAACATGATGACTTATGCTGAATGTGACCACAGCTATTTTCAAGAAGGTGACATTTGGTGCAAAACTGGGGGTGGTGTGTTTAGCTTCCGGTACTCGGAAAAGGAGCTGGCTTAGCAAGTCATTTTAAATTTTTTTATTGCTGCTCTAAGGCCAAACTGCACACACGTACAGGTAATAGCTGTTGAATGCCTAGTTATTTAAAAAAAAAATATAACGTTACTACAGAAGTCTATGGGAAAACATTTGGTTGTGTGTAACCTGTAGTGGACCGCATTGTTACTTGCCCTGACTCACCGATGAGATCAGCAACAGGGGTGGCGACACAAGCTACTGACCCTCTACAGCCTAAGTGTAACAGCAGTTTGCGTGAACATAATATTACATGACATTCTTATAATTGCTCCTGTCACTCGCTGCATACTGACGATCATCAGGTATAATCAGTTTCGAACTGAAACACAATACATTGGATGTTTAATCAATTTATTTTTTTTGTTTCTCAACCCCTATTTGTTATGGGAAACCTTTCGCACTTGCTCACACTTATTCCATTCGATAAAAGGCAATTAAAATATTAAACGGATTAATCAGTGTGCCACTGCGCAGAATGCAGTAACGTCTCATGTTTCGATGGTTACACTAGCTACGGCAAACAGAACATGACTTAGGACCTACCGTCGGGATTACCTGCCTATCGTTTCAACTGAATATTGGAAGCTAAGCACAATACACTGTGTAACACGATATCTGTGATTTTCCTAACAACTTGTAATTCTTGTTTTGCAATCACAACGTGATTCCTGGCAATCCACTGGGTGTACGCTATTTGCATTGGTACGGTATGACCATTGTTCCGTGCTGTATCTCCCAAGCCGTATGTACACGTCCCAAATACATTTTGGAATGAGTTGTTTTCGTGAATTTCAAATACGGTGTCAATAGAGTGATGATGTCCGACTCCTTTGTCAGCATCGAAGTTAAGCTGTGAATTATTAATTGTCACACAAGTGAAATAGACACCGTCGGCTGTCGGGACGTCATTATCGATGGATACCTTTGAAACAGCTCCACGCGACCAATAATTCGCATGGGCCGGTAGCTGTAATGTTATAGCCCTGTCAAGTGTCATATATGTCGATTGATCGAAGCCCCTTCATTCAGATCACCGTGAGGTTTTGTATATGAACATGAGAGACGGAATGATTCTGGTAAGTAAACGCTGCATTATGTAAAGAAACTATTTAAACTACAGTTGGCATACAACACGACAATGAAAAGGATGTTGTAAAATTTTCCGTATAATTTTCCCCCCGTGTTTCATGTGTTCCCAGATAAGCTTTCAAAACGTTTATGGTAGACATGTGCATGATATTTCCAAATTCGACGCATTGTGACAAAAAAATATGCCCGACGCAATTCACAATTTAGACTTGAAAGATATGTGTCCGTGCATTTTCAAATGAACAATTGACTTGCTTCTGCATGTGTTTGTGACGGTTGCTACCGGTGGAGCAGCATAAGCACTTTTCGCGAACACTTGGAATGGTAGAGTCGACTCTGCTTTTGGCAGAGGCTTGGAGACTTCTTATGAATGTGGAAAGTGTTTTTTCGCTTTTATTAACGTGCTTATGATAATATCGGAATCCTACCTTGCTCTATGCAGATATTTTTTTATGATTAAGGAAAGGGTTACGTCGCTTCTATTTAATTAAATGTAAACAAATGTCATTGTTAAAAAAAGCTTTTGATAAATAAAAGCGACAAACCCCTTTCCATATGTATAAGAAATATCAGCTAAAAGCAGAGTCAATTGTACTATTTCGACTGTATCATGAGCATGTGTTTATGAAACACTTTAGATAGTGAAGTTTTTTTTCGAAAAGATGAGCGTACATTGCCCCCTAGTTGCACCCATCACAAACACGTGGAAGTCAATTGTTTACCTGAACAAACACGGAAACCCCCTGTTGCACATGCCTACGATAAAAATTCTAAACATCTTTACAAACAGACTTTTGAGCAAGAGTGGTACGACATGTACTTGTACTTTCAAAAAGAGTTAAGAACAACTGCGTTAGTGATGATTCCCTCAAATCGGGCGGGCGGTGATATCTCGTAAAACGTCATCCTATAACCGCTTTGTTACCTCGCTAGATCACGTTTGTTTTCTTTTAAATAGAATACTAAACGAGCTCCCGTGTAATACCAATTTTATGAAACGAGTGAATAGTTCTGGTATTTGACGAGCGAACGCGAGTCAGATACCAGAATTATTCATGAGTTTCGTGAAATTGGTATTACAGGGGAGCGAGTTTAGTATTTTATTTATTACTTGCCATTTATAACTTTTTTAGAATGTCACTGTCAGTTATGAATAGGCAGACACCTACACGATCCAAAATGTTTAATTTAATTTAATACCATACAAATTCCACAAAGTTATCGTAGCTCTAGGGTTATCGTAACTCACACTTTAACAGAAACTTATGACTGTCGTTTCGACAATACGATCGCCTTGTGCAACGGGACCTGCACCACAAAGTTTACAATAACGTCGCAATACTCTATGACGTGATTTGTGGAATTTTCTTGCAACATCCACCGGCGCAACAATGCCATGTTACGTCAGCCGAGCAACGGGGTTGCGGGGGTTATTGAGTGTGCATAAGCTCCCCTCAGTGATCTATTATGTCCTCACGCAATGCCGTTGAGTAAGCCAAGAGATGCTGAGGGCTTGCAATGTTTTTTAATGGAACTTGTTCCGGCAGTACAGTTGAACGCGCTACATTACACAATGTATGTTTATTAAAGAGGTGATCTTTTCACGGGCAAGTAATAAATTTGTTTCCAAAATGAATTATGGATTTCTAGTAAGTGTTTTGGTATCATTGTTTTCCACATAAAACTGGATTTCTAGTAATTGTTTTAGCATCACATTTTTCCTCATGGATTCGGATTTCTAGTGCTTGTTTTGGTATCATTGTTTTTCACATAAATTCGGATTTCCAGTAATTGTTTTAGCATCATAGTTTTCCACATGGATTCGGATTTCTAGTGATTGTTTTGGTACCATTGTTTTTCACATAAATTCGGATTTCCAGTAATTGTTTTAGCATCATAGTTTTCTACATGGATTCGGATTTCTAGTGATTGTTTTGGTACCATTGTTTTCCACATAAATTCGGATTCTGAATAATTGTTTTATCTCGATTGTTTTCCACATAAATTGAAATTTCTAGATAGTGTTTTGGCAATTGTTTTCCACATAAATTCGTAATTGTTTTATCACCATTGGTTTCGTAACTATACAATTAATGTTTATTGGTTGGTTAAATAAAAAAAAATAGATTGTCTCAGAAAATGCTTGATAAAAATAATTATGCTTCAGGCATTTGAAAAAGAGAAATTGTGTCACAAAATATACATTGTTGCAAGCTGTTTTCTTTTATTATTTAGCCTGATAATTTCAATTAACAAAATATCTGGTTTTGCAGCAGTAACTGAAACAAGTCTATACAACAACCCCCCAAAATGTCCCAAATAAATTTAGTTCCCCTATGTGTGTTGGTTTCTGTCAAACAGCTGGGTTGTACACAGTTGGCGCTCCATCATCAAATTTCTGTTCATTCATACACGGTATGCTTACAATTTTCGCGAACTCTCGTCACTGATTTTCAGCCTTCCATTTTCACAGCTAGTTTGCTTTTTACGCCCAATTGAATCTGTTTCGTAGGATAATGAAGACGTTGACCGCCTTTATTTAAGAATAACAGAAAATGATAAAGGGATTATGACCCCTAGGTGTTTCCGTATAGTAAATACACGTACCATACATTAGGAAAAACATGTATTTTATTCATCCTAAATGCGACATCTAAGGGACGGAAACACACTTGGGTAATATCTTCTATACCCAGTGTATTGTTTCCATAATCACTGACTTAAACATCTGATCAAGACATGGTACCACCACTGCCTAAGGCATTGTTTTATTGAAGATCTTCCATCCAATTTTCCCCTTGACAAATCGAGTCTTAAGAGTTTTGTATTATTTATTTGAAGCTTGTGTTGTTGTGCCAACACCAACAGAGAATGAAATATATGATTCCTGAAAAACAGAATAGAGGCTGTCTTTACGATGTATTCCCTTGACAACCGATGACTCGTGTTTATACTAAATCAAACAATGAAATGTGAGTTCGTGTGGAACTCATGCAAGGGAAATGAGCCAACTAGGGCATAAATTATTGTGTGTGCCTTAAAGGGCAAGTTCACATGGAAATGAACCTATTTTTCTTGTACTTTTTCCACATTAAAAGTGTTAACCTAGTCGTGTCATAGACAAAAATATAAAAATATCACAATTAATTAACATATTTTTTTCATTAAAACGATTTATATTTTTAACATTTACCAAGTGTTCTATTTCCATAACAAAAACACCATGGCTTATGCCCCTTGCAACATGACGTCATTGGTGCCAATTGATAAACATTATGACGTCATCATGCTATGTTAGAGCCGCTTCACGTGGTGTAGGTACAGCTGTGTGATTCTAGCGTCTCGGATGCCAGCCAGCATAGTGTTATGCTGAGTCACCACTGCGCCGGAGTGTGTCGTAGGCCATGTTGTTTTACCGAAAACTGGTACTTGATATCTTTTGCGTTGGGCAATAGACAGGGATCCAGTTGAACTGGCACCAATTACGTCATAATCTAAGGGGGATAACTCAGGCCTGTTTAGCTCGAAAAACGAAGGCCTCATATCGGCATATCATTTTCACACTATTGTGAGCTTCCTACTTTCACTGTGAAAAAAATGAGATTACATTTTCAAACACAGATATTAACTAATTCTAAAATTGCGTTTTGTTTAGAAAAAGAAAGAAAGTGATTTTTGCGTGTACCCTTCCCCTTTAAGGATAAGGATAAGTTTAATGGCAGCAAGGTTGTCGCATGCGTTGCACACGTTGTCAAGCTAGAAATATTGTCGTTTCATTCGTTGCCGCCTAAACGCTCACTGATCTCAGCGCTCTCCACTCCCCTCTCGCTTGAACAGTGGCTTGATTCGATAACACCTGGTGTCATCACTGATTATAGTGATCCATTCATATAATTGTCACTAATAGTTTGCCTGTTACGTCCAATTGAATCGGCAGATATCGAAAACCTAGTGTATCCGAACTCATGAAGTATTGACGTCGCCGGCTGATCGAAATGGTGCGTCGTGTCTCTCTCTCCCACTCTGACATGGAACATTAACTTTAGACAAGTATTGCCTCATACATGTTCAGGCTATTTATTTATATATGTGACGACTGCAGAACCTGGTGCAGATTCTCCACCATGTTTCTTGACTTGCTGACAATTTCCATCAGCATCGGATCATTATAACATACTTGATATTAATATATAATATACATGTATATGGAATTATATCAAATACACAAAAATCCAAAATATCTACGTTTCTGTCAAAACCATGCATAATTTATTGCACTATCAACTCCAAAACATTCAATCCTCTTTTGTACTGGATTCTTTAAACTCTCCAAACATCCACGCTCCTGAGCTAATTGAGAACAGCGAAACCGCCTCATCTGTTTCATACTTAGATATATGCTTAAAGATTCAGAATGACAAATATATTTAAAAAAAGACTGCATAAGAAGACGGATGACTTCAACTTTCCAATTGTCAACTTTCCCTTCATGTCGACCAATATTCCAGCAGCTCCAGCCTTTGGTGTCTCTTGGGGGTACGTTTGAGGTACTTTTGAGCAAGCCATTTTATTAAGACTTCAAAGAGCATCACGCGATTCACCTTTTCCGGAACGCCTGGTATCATCACTATTTTATAGGGATTCATACACTAGTGCACACGATATATACTGAACCGAAAAAGAAACATCACCTTGGATAGATATATGAGAAACCTTATTTGTCCAACACGCTAAACATACTTTGAGACATATTAAAAAGATGAAACATGGCAAAACTGATCTTCAAGGTTAAAATTAAAGTGTCAAATGTTCTTAAAGTGAAACACAACACTAGTCTCTGCGAAAATGGCATCACAAGTCAATATCTATTGTGTCCGCCATGTGCATTGATGACTGCCGTGCAACGTCGATACATGGAATGGATGAGGCGGTTGTTGAAGGCCATAACCACACACTCTTCGGCCTTGGTCGGACGTCATTCAGCCGT